ATCTGGCTCCACTGTGCATCGTTCAAGCGGACGTTAAGGATGGACTGCAAACCGGCACGGACAATGTCGTCCAAGGATGTGGTCAGCGCCACGTGCTCATAGCATCTGCTTGTGCGGAATCCGTAGAGCAGTTTCGGTATCAGTAAACAATTTCGCAGGAGGTACAAGCTGTAATGTGCTGGTATCAGTTTGAGTCGCGATATGAAATACTCCAGCTGCTAGGATTTACTGCGTAGGAAAGTCTCGCACGCCGCTGTCGTTAAAGGAGCCCCAAGGAGAGTGAATTCTTCTTCCTTGGAAACGGCCATTTCGGGAAATGCATTGAGCATTATTTGTACTGCATGTAAACGATCTGCAGTGAGTTTTCCCACGCTGTAAACTTCGCATTTGCTGAGATTGAGCTCCAGTCCCATTCTGAAACCCCGTGCAATGATAAGTCGTATTGCTGCTATAACTTTTTCCGCGAAACCAGCTAGGGTGACATCATCCAGGTAGCCAACTGCTATATCACATTCCAAGTCTTCAAAGAGTGGTAGTGTTGCAAGGCCATAACCAAACGGACCAGCGGGATCGCCTTGTTGCACGCCAGTTTCTGAAGACAGCAGGGACGTACCGCAAGCCAGGTGTGACGGATGCCGATAGGACTGCCAGAAGTACCGAAAGTACGCAGGGAATTTGTCACGTACAGCAGACAATAAAACGTCCCGGCGCAAAGTATTGAAGGCATTTCTGAAATCGAGGTTTACAATAACGCGCGCGTCCTCATGTGTCGTTTCCACGTAGCTCCGAACAGCATGCGCGGCCGCTTCAGCGCCCTCTCTTACGCCGACGCCGAGTTGCACGGGAGAAAACATTGCGGCTGCTTCTTCAGCGCACCTGCTGCTAACAATCTTGGAAACCAATCGCCGTATCGTGTCCCCTACGGCGATTGGTCTCACTCCTCCATCTTTTTTTCCCAGTGGAATTAAATTGGCGCCGAAAAAATACGGCCTAATATCTTCAGGTATATCCGTCCTGAGAATCATATTCGTCAGATCAGTGAGTGCGAGGCATAGATCGCTTTGTTGATCGTCCTTGCGATTTAGGAGGTCCTTCAAATGTTGAAGGCGAAGGCCAAAAACTCCTGCTGCTGAGCCAGTGGGAAAACTAAAACCAGCAGTTATTACCTCGGCAGGAGAAACTAATGGTAGTAAGGAGTCATCAGGTGCTGGAGGGAATTGGCAGTCGTTGGGTGCTGGCGGGTGCTTATCCCGTAGTACTTCAATCGTTTCAGCATTGATCTCGGCCAGTTTTTCATCTTCCAGCAGTATTCTAATAGCTCCTTTTATATTAGCATCTTGGAACATGGAGTTTACTAAAGCACGTAGGCTATCTTGTGCGGAAGTATTACTCCTGGCTTGCTCGCGACGGGGCAGAGTATGGCGGTTTGCAAGGGACAGATCTGCCAGGTTGTTTCTAATTACGGAGGTGAGAGATTCCCTGCGAAGGGTTTTGGTAGGTGGGAGCGATAAAGCGGTCGGTGCAAACAACAACAGTGCGGTCCAGGTAGCAGATGAATTCTTGCGCACGCAGTTCCTGATCAGATCAGTCAGCACTTGAGCACACTGGCGACGCACCGCTTTAGGCACTCGTTTTTGAATGTGGTATCGGTCTCCTTCCAAGAAGGAACGTAAGGGGTGCTTCTGAGTCCCTCCGGGCGGAGGTAATGGAGGCTGGGCAGAGGAGGAACCCGTAGCGTGCTTGCGCGAACAGGCCTTCGTGTGGGCAGCGAATCCAGCTCCCTGTGTGAAACACTTTTTGCAGTGCGGGCAAGGCTGATCGCGAGCCATAGTTACAGTAAGAATGAAAAAAGACCAACCTAATGCGTCATCATGGAGGCAGGATGCCCAGGAAAATCAGGCCGCCGCGAGCAGCTTCCCATTCCGTGGCACTTTCCCCTTCCGTGGTACGGTACCACGGTTAGATTCTCCGAAGCCACCCTTGCAGTCGACAGGAAAACACACTATCGACGCGCCGGGAAATTTAGCGCAAAAATATCCATCCAAATCCCATCCAAAGCGAAAATCCAGATGAAAAAACGAAAATAAGTCGTTCTTGTCGCAATAACTCTTTAAATTTTAACCACAAAATTAATGCAAAGTAAAATACCAGTGTGAGACGTATTTGTATAAAGTTTCATTTGGATGATCAATTAACGGAATCAAACACAGTTTCAAAAGCGGAATACTAAGCTGGAAAGCGCGTGTAAGTTACGCAACGAAGATAGGCAGGCAGCAGTTTACTGGTCGGTTCTGATTTGCCTGTGACGTGAACAGAAGTGCGTTTCTTGGTTCGGATATTTATATTTGTGTCTCATAATTAATTATCATGCTACTATTATTGATTTTCTTATTTATAATAATTGATGCACTAACACTAGACAAATCTCTAGTGTTGCTTTACTTAGTAAAAGTAAATAGTAAACCTTACTTATTAAGCCGTTTTTGCCTTTTACTCATTAAGTAAAAAGTAAGTAAGCAGCAAAACGGAAAAGTAAAAGTAAAGTAAAAGTAAGGGCAGCCGAGGCTTCAGAAGTAAATAGTAAGTAAAAGTAAGAGGCGCGAAACGGGAATAGCTTAATTAGTAAAGCAGTCTTTTTACTAAGCGTCCGCAGCAGATAAAAGTGACGGGCATCATCAGAATTCTGCTGAACATGCTCTTTTCCATAGCAGTTACGTTAGGCAGTACAGGTTTTCTTCTGGAGCGCTAAAATTTCTATACTGCAGACGCCTTCAACCGTTTAGGTGGGCGAGTTACGTGACTGCCAGGCGTATTAGCTAGTGCTGTTTCACTGCAACGGATACGGTGTAATGACTTTTGCTAATTTTTGTTAAAATATTAAGTATTTTTTGTTAAAATATTAAGTACTGTAACTTCACACTGCCCAGAACCAAATTGCTTCATTGAAACAAATTTCTGAGCACAAATTGAAATTAATCGTTGTGCACACTGTCGCATAGCATAAGCAGTTATTTTTGTTTCAGATACGGAATATGCTTAAGAAATGAATAATTATGGCAAAATTGAAAACTTTTGTTGCGTACTGCGATTTTTCGCAAAACACGAGTAGTAAATACTAGTTTATTAGTGATTACTAAGTTAGTAAAAGTAAGTAAAGTTACGATAAAAAAAGTAAAAAGTAAGTAAAAGTAAGGAAGAAAAATAATGAAAAGTGAATAGTAAAGTGTAAGTAAGGTTTTGGGACAATAGTAAATACAACACTGCAATTCTCATACTGTAGCCGCGCGATGCGTGTGTACCACAGAGTCTGGTATACGGAAATCGTCGATAACAAATACATTCTCCTGGAGCATATATTCGTAAAAACAGAATGAAATACGTGTGGCATACCAATGTGTAGAGAAAAATCAGCTCTACTTGGTAGTATCTGTATTTTTTAGAATGCGGTGAGTATTATCAGTTTCTTTGTGTGTTTTTCGTTTTCCGAAATCGTTTTAATTTTGTTTTCGCAGTTCCTCTTCTGCAGCCAAACCCCTTGCTCTGACGAGCCAGCAATAGATGAGTCATCCAAAACTGTATTCTGAGCGCCGCGCCAAAATCTACTTTCGGCCAGCCGAGCAAACAGTTTGTTTGTCTGTTGAGGTTTATACCGGGCACGCGTTTTATGGCATTTTTCTAGCATTTTTTAATAAGTTTGTAATTGAGTTGCCGGGACTTCTAAACAATCGTTATGCAATTTACTGCCATTTCCCGCATCTAACCGCTGAGTTTATTATGCGACATTCTCAACGGGAACAGTGCGAGAGATCGCTACGAGCAGTTTATAATGTTTTACTGGCGCACTTCCGTTTTGATTTCTATCCGATACCACTGGGGAAGTTAACAACTGAATATTTGTACATGACATACCAAAAAATTTAGGACTGGCCACGACAATGTACCAACCTTTAACATGTTTTCCGTTACCTTCTAAAAGTGTAATGAGGCTAAATAGCCAGAAAGCTACCCTGACGCCCAGAATGGGGCTAAATAGCCAAGGACTATGAAACCCCAGTATGGGGCAAAATAGCCAACTAGCTATTAGACGGGCCCCACTGGGGCAAAATAGCCCAGTAGTTAGTTTCCCCCCACACACTGGGGCAAAATAGCCACTCCGCTTAAGAAAGTAACAACATTCAAGCAGCAGAAGTGCAATTGCGGGTGACACTGCTTCGTAAGTAAGAATTTATCATAATGATTAGTCACTGTTAAAATTATTCACAGAATAACATCCATGGTCTGGGTTCAGGTTAATATAGTAAAATGTCAGTTATTACGTGACAACGTTGATAAAATAAAATGGCAATTATTATGGATGACAACCTGTTTTGATTTTGTAATAAATTATATCCGAAAACATTACATGTACGATTTACGACGACATTTGTCAGACGTGCCACGGCGTAGACTGACCACACTCACTGAAGAACATACAATACATAGTTCCGTAGTGCGGTGACCATTCCAAGATCAATTTCTCCACATCAGTTCGTTACTCTACAAACGAGCAAGCCAGTGCAAGTTTTCACGTTTTAAAATGCTAACAATTTTTTTAACTGAAAACATTTTCTGCAGTTATGTGTAAATGAAAAAAATTTTAATCCCAAAATTAAAATATTAAATCTGAAAGAAAATTATCTTCTCCCATTGCGTCGTTTCCGCGTAGTGGTTACAGTAAATGCGCGTAATGCACGTTTCCGTTTTCATTACCATTTATTGCGCATTACTGTGTTTTATGAGACATATTTTAGTTACTCGAAAAGAAAATAATAACTACTGTTCTTAGGTCACATTATGTACTTAGGAAACGGTACGCACAACAAATCCATGTACAAATGTTGAAGAAAACATTTTTTGGGGGCGTTTTTAAAGTATTATTTTATGGCGTGCGCTGACCTTTATGGCGGGCCCTATGATATCATAGGGCTCGGTATTGCAGTCCTCGGAGTCGGTCGGCTTCTGCTTCTTATCGCAGCTGGACGAGACCACCACGCTGTCGTTCTTCAGGCAGATAATGTACCGCCGCTTCGATCCACTGCCGCATTTTGCGAGCACTAAAAATCGCAAATAAAATAGAAAAACTAATAAAACAAAAATATAATAATAGAAAAGGTATCTTATAGAAAATGAACAGAAAAACAAAACAGATAACGACTGTAAAAACAGAAACATAAATACTGATAAAACATAGGGAAGTTATAAAAGAGAACATAGGGAAGAAAACTTTAAGTATGTAAAATGTGTATAACATAAAATAAGGAGGAAAACAAAAAAGAGGTAAATCTGCAAAGGTCAGGCCTCAGAGCAAAGAAATCTCACGAGGCTAATCTGCAGTAGTACAAGTTTAATTAAAACACGCTTAATTAAACACGTGTTACCTCCTACCTTAAAAAATCAACGCAAGTTAATAGCTTTTAGTTCTAAAATCTGGTAAGAGGCAAGTTTCAGATACAGTATGATAGGAAATGACCTGCAGACCAATGCCGTTACACTACAACTCCTTCGTATGTACCGTATAAAGCCATTTTAAGTCAACAACGCATCTGTAGTAATCTTTAAGGGCGAGTAATTAAGCACTAATAAATTCGTATGGAAATAAAAATGATGGAAACGTTCACATGAAAACAATAAAAACGCCGGCAACTGGTATACGAGTAGAGAAGCTGATATTTAGCTAAAAATTAAAAACAACCTTCAAAATTACCGCCACATAAAAACATTACCGGAAACCGGGGGAAACGTACGAACTTGGGAATTAGAAAGCGGTTAATCGTTCGGAAAAAAATAAGCAAAACTGCCAAATTGCAATTAATACCTACTTTGCTACATTCCGTGGAGAACCACATGGCGTCGCAGGGCGGCGCATTGGCGCAGGCATCCGACAGTTCCGGCTTCTTGGCCGACGCGCACATGGACAACGGGTAGACCGTGCCGTTCTCGGAGGTGCACACGGCGCGACGGGTCCGGCTGCGCTGACCGCAATAATAAAAATTAATCAAAATAAAACAAGAAAGACACAAGTGAAATTAAAAAAATTTAAAATAAACAAATAACAAAGTGCCAATTTGATAATAAAAATCGAAAAAATTAATTAACAATTCTATTCTATTCTGCTTTATATTTCTGAACGAATAATTCTGCATTTTTCAAAATTATTCCTGTAGGAATCACGCATCAGCCGTACTTCTGCAGAATTAAAAAAAATTCTAACTGAAACCGACGGTGTACAGAATTACAAGAAAAGGACTTTCGCACATATAAAAACGGATAACAATTCTGATTACAGATAAAAAATCTGGCATAAAAGTAGGGCGCTCAAAACGAGCATCGCATGCATGCGTACAATGCGGGGCAGGGATCGTCGACATTGCACTGCCGACTGGGCTGTGGTTTGACCAGCGCGTCGCATAATTCATCGTCCACCGGTTCGTAGTCGCTGGTGCGGACACACACCACCGGCCGACTCTGTCGTCCGCCGCCGCAGCTGGAGCTGCAGGGCCCGTAGCCCAGTGCAACATGCAATCCCTATGGGAAGCCGGCTTGGGGCCTGAGAGCACAGACCCATGCGACCCCCGTGCAGGGATAGCTAGGACGCCGTTTCCGGCCCACAGGTTCTGGTGCCGAATAGGTTTCACACAGGCCTACCGAAGTGGGACTGCAGCCCAGAGAACGTTCTGGTCTGTTCTGGGGCAGCCCAGGCAAGTTGTATGCCTATAATGCACTATTTGTTTATGCTTTGCGCTGTCCGGATCTTGAACATGAAACAAGTTCGTTCAAAAAAATAACACTATTATTACTCTTGCAATCCGTAAATGTTATTTGAGTATTTCGTTAACATTAGGTGACTCCAGAACCGTGATAGGCATACATGCGCGTACGCTTGCATGTACATACAGTATATATACGTTATTTACGTACACTTTATCGATCGCGCATTCTTCTATGATGCACTCGATCAAACTCAGTAGTTAAATTCCAGAACTTAAATAATATTATTTTCTACTACTTGCGGCGACCGGCACATTTCTAACGAATAATTGTGGAGCGAAATCGATATATTTTCAATATAATACTGCCGGATATTTCAAAAATTTATATGCCAATAAGTTTTTACCTGTCTGTTTCTATGCTTATTGTATATGCCTTTTGCGAAAAAAACAATTTGATCTGGTTTTAATTTTTTTAATTGCACAAACATCGCCGTCCGTGGTGGAAAGTATAACAGTGTTCGGTCTTCAGGTGACGCAAAGCGCTTTTTCTAGCATTACTGGCATACTTTGCAATTGGAAATACCGTCAGACAGTGTTTACTAATAATCTCCGAATCTGTTTGCAGCAAATGTTCGTCCATGTTCTGCTCAAAATATAACGAAAAAATTTTGGCAATAAATTTCTGTCATAATGAACTGTGTATTTCTACATAGACCGATAGACGTACTGTATTCAGTGTATTGTATAGTATTACGCCATGGTGTTACACTGTACCAATGTGCCTACTATATATGTGGTAGAGCTGTTCAGGCTGCCACTCTTACGCGCAAACTGAAGTGGAGATATGTAAAACCGCAGCGTGGGATAATACACGTGCGCAGAACTGTATCGTGGGAAGACTCTGCTAGCTGTGTATACGCATTAGGCAAACCTCCAGCGAGGGAAGAGGCACGGAAAGCAGACGCATTGTTTTTGCGTATGAATGTTATACTGAATGTGCGTAGCAATACGTACGCAGACCTGCAGCGCGATATCCGGTGCAAATAACGTACGGAGCAGCGCGTCAGAGAGCGTGCCTCTCACATGCATATAGACTACTCTAGTAGTCTGTGTGAGCACTGAGCACATGCATCCATATGGTGTATCAGTTTTATGTATGTAAAAGAATTGTCAGTTGAATGTAAGAAAATTTTCTCAAAATCAAAATATTTCCCAAATCTGCGCTAGTCTACTGGTTTTTGGACGCGAAACCACGTTGTGGCACCGTTGATCACCACCGTTTGCGCAAATGGGAGTTATTCCAGATGGAGCTGGAGGAGGGAAATGCATGTGAGGCATTGTGGTCTAAAGGGAATTGGAACCCTTGTATTATTCTACGCTTTGACGAAAGTAAGTCTTCTCTTGAATAAGTTTTCCACAAAATATATATGGTTAGTGTAAATATCACAGACTATAAATTGAATATTTGTATACAGCTAGAGACGCCTAAGCACTGGAGAATCGATACTTGGCGAACCAGAGCGACATCGACCGCGAGGATTCCAACGGTCGCGATGCAGCGCAGAATGTGGCCCTGAAGTGCGGTGTTACACTCTACGATATGCAAAAAAAGTATATTGACTCGCTGGCTCGGCCTCTAAAAGCTGGAGCGAGAGGCAGGAATGCAACGGTGCCCAAGGAACCTGCCACGAACTCACAGCGGACAGCCCCAACGCCTGCACTCGCACCCGCCTCGACACGTCTGCCAGCCACGCCACCCCTGCTCGTTCCAGCGGCCCCTGTTATCCGAGTGCCCGATGCTGCTACTCCGTCTAGCGTTGCGGTTCTACCATTCACTGATGTTATAAGCCAAATACTAATTTTGGGCAATTTTGTATTTTTTCTCTTTTTGCCGTATGCCTGATTTTCTTGCCTTCCAGTTGATATCCAGATGATTTTTAAATCTCTAGTCTGTCAATTCTCGTACACATTGAAGTCAACTTATTTTTGCACTTTTTTGTTCTAGCCGAATTAAAGCGATTAAAATTTGTTATTTCAATTAAACGTTAATTAGATCGCTATAAACCGGTGTAATTTGTCTTGCACACTTAAAGTGAAAAAACGAAAATAATATGTAAGCAACAATTAATTAAGCTGACGCGCCCGGCCGTTACCAGAAAAATCTGCTAATTCAGGCCCAGGTGGAGCCAGCACAGGCACCGGAAGTGAATGCCCCTGGCCTGATTGCCACTGTGTGCAGGCCTATCCCATGCCTGACAGGCCTGTACGTTTGGGGCATATCAGGCCTGAACACTTGGTCTTCCGGTGAGTTTCTGGTCATGGTCGGGTCACACAAAACGGCCGGTGTTCGTGTTGCACTGGGAGGAGCGCGCCAGCCAGGCGAAGCTCAGCGGGCGCACGTCCTTGGCGCTGTTGGGCGCGTAGAATTCGTACAACACACCCGGGTTGGCTTCCTGATGCAACATCTACGAAAAACCCCAAATCTGGTAATTTTCGGGTTATTCTTAATCGAAGCGTTTTACCTTTTATGTTAACGAATTTCCATTTTTTAGTACTTTCCACACAATTTACTGTGATTTTTACATGACAACTGCATGTTACATTATGTTAAGGAGTCATGCATTGTATCCGAAATAATTGAGTTAACTTCAGATGCTTTCTTAGCTATAAGGAAAACGAAAAAATATTCGTTAGATCCTCTTAATAATTCATTTAAATCTGAACGCTGACACATGCGTAGCTTCCATGTCAAATAGTGGATAAGCGCCTTTTGGAGTGCCAGTACACTACGTCTCATCCAATGATTGCGATAGTGTTGCAATCAGGGTCCAACGGTTGACCAGGCTCGGCGCGCAGCTCATGCGAACCCGCGGAAATGAAAGCGGGATCTACGCTGCAACTCAAAGAAGCGTCAGGATAAATATGGAAACGAGATGACAGGGAAGAATGATGCACGTCCGCCCTCAACGAGGGGTTCCGGCTCGTAGGGCGACGGGGTGGGCGCGGGATAGAGATCGATGGGTGGTTGTTCTCCTACAAATAAAACAGACTTTAGATTAAGGTGTTTAAACTGAATCATGCATGATAATGTTGGGAAAATAATCTAGTTTAACTGTGTTAATTTTCCAATGGTCAGTAATTCAAATAATTGATGCTCCTGCTATTTTACTTGCTCCATGGTTAGTTTGGGATTTCCTTGTTCTTATTTCCGCTCTTTCTAATTCTCCTTCTATACTTCTCGTATATTCACTGATGGAGTTATTTCCAAGCAAACATTTTAGAAATCTATACAAAGTTATGTTTTAACGATGTCTGGGCCGTAGTTTGCGTTATATTGCCGAGTTCGACGGGCGTCATGCAGGTCGTGCCGCAGCCGTTATTACAGCACTTCTAGTATTCTACTGCATCCGTACGTGGCACTCAATCCGTACCGCGTGCCGGTTCGCACGAGCCCGGCGAAATATCCCCCGGAGATGGGCAAGTGCATACTTTCTCCACTTAGTTCGCGTAGCCGTACGGGTACTGGATGTCGTAGGTGCGGGCTCAGCATCCCACGCCAACTGTAATTAGCGATACAGATTTTGTTTCAAAAAACAAGAGAAACGCATTCCAAATATCAAGCAGCCAAGTCGGAAATATATTATCCCATGTTATTCCCAGTCTCGGTACAGACTGGAGACTATTAAACTGAAAACACTAAGCATATATTCGTGGGCATCGTAGTGCAATGGCAACGCAGCTCAATTATGCCAGTGGCAGCGGTTTGTAGACAATGTAATTCGATAGTATTAGTTAAGGTGTATTAACTAATACTCAAAAAATAATTTATATTTTTACTCATAACTGACTTTATGACTATTAGTTGGGGTTTTAGCATCTCAAGATCTTTCGGATGGAAAATACGCTCTACAACATTTTCTACCCAAAGCGATAATCTCCGTTAAGTAAAATTCAACACTTACACTGTGCAGAAGCCTTCGCACTGTTCCAATATATGGAAATGGTTCTGGTTGCCGCCACATCCGGTGTTTGTACTGTAGCCGCCCGCACAAGTTGCCCCACAGAGTGAGGTATACGGATGTTTGGCCTCACATTGCTCGCTGTTCAGCGCAGTGTGTGCAGGGAGAAGGCAGCGGCCGGATCTGCCAATGGAGCAACTTGTGCGGGCGGCTACAGTAAACGACAAGCATTTTCCCTGAGAAATGTCGTAGTAATTACGCGATTGCCGCTCGTCGCACGCTCCCGCATCCACCGGCATACAGCAGATGGCTGTTCAATACAAACACAAACATGGACAAATAAACATCGTGCACTGAGAAATATCATAGCGTTAAACCGACTAACGCCCGCATATTTCAAATAAAAATGCTGAAGACAAATTATAAATTCAACAATAGTAAGGTATCTCCGTGGACCGATAACCAAGTACTAAAACCAGTTTTGCCCGTTACTGCACAAATGAAGTGGAGAAGTTTAGCGGGTTGATGTAGTGCAATGGCAATAAAAAAGGGCGATCTGAAAAAGTTCAAGGTCGAAATATTAAATGCTACGGCATCATCACAGTCAATAAAAACTTAAAAAAACTAAAGTTTTTTTGGTATTTCCGAGCACAAAATCGAAAGAAAAAATCGGGAACAACATTTATACATGGCAGAGCGGAAAAAACTCCCGTTTCTTACCGAGACAGGTATTCTGGTGGCTCTCGAAGCGGTTCTCGTTGCCCAGACAGCCGCCGTAATGGAAAGGCAGCACTCACGGACGTACAAGGCGTAGCATCCTCAAATTTTGGTGGCCGGGGCCGTGCACCGTCGGGAGGTGGCACATCGCCGCCCCGGAGGGCCGGATACATTCCGCCTGCCATTTCGGCTCTGCATCAAACAAGACAAACAAATTACAGTTCCTAATTTGTTTAATTTACGAAAAAAATTCCAGAAAATCTTCTTTTCTATAACGTTATTTTTTATCTCATTAACGTCGTTCTTGTTAAGTAAAAGTTAAAAGCGGGCAAATAGTTTTGAACAGAATGAAAAAATCAACTCCATATTCGAAAAGTGTTCGGAAAGGCAATTCAAACCGAAATTAGCACATGGAATTATATCGTCGTTATTAAATGAATCCATTTCCAGTCATTTAGTGGCTTCGTCTCCTTAGACATCCATTACACTACGTTTAAGCGATAATACTGCTCAAAAGCCGCAAGACGATTACAGCCGATGCAAGTTTTGAAAAAGAGCTTACAAAAAAAATCAAAAACCTGATTAAAATACCACTTTATAAAATTTAGCTGATTAGTGATTACTAAAATACATAACTTCTGCTTTTAATTTAATTATAAAATTTCGAATTTTTAAGCGTAAAGTTAAATTATGTTTAATTAAATTTAAACGCAGAAAAATTTAAATTGATAGGCTACGTTAAAACAAAGTTTACAAAAAATTGCAAACGCTTACGCGGTTGTCGTTTGCCTTCGCATCCGCCGTACCAGAAGCGCGTACAGTCACCGTAATCAAAGTCATAATGCCATTTGATGCTGTAATTGCGGCAGGGACCTTGTTCCGAGTACATTTCACAATCTATCGGCAACCACACAGAACAGAAACAAAGTCAGCAACAATCCCAATTCCCAATCTTCCAACATCAGCGGTAAGCGATCACGTAAGTTTCCTGACCCAACGTCTGCATCGTGAACGGATTTTCTGGGTTATCTGGCAACTTTTTCGCTGCACTTTTCAAAGCATGTATGCGTATTGAGAGAATGAATAAACCAAATGAAAACAGAATAAATAAAAGGAAACTAAAAAAGTTGTAAGTTTGTAACTGAGAAGGACAAGCTGGCCGTGTGTGAACAAATAACAAAATTGTAGTACTGTGGCGCTATCCGGCCTTGCTCGTTATGTAGCCTCGCGAAGCTATTAGTGACAAAGGATCTGGACAGAAAACATTTAACGAATTTTTATTTCGTCAAAATCAAACCTACACCTACATATAGTTTTCCAATATTTATTTCTCAAATGATTCGATTTATTGTATAGCAATTTTCAATAGCTTCGAAATTCCAAATGCGTACATTAATAAAAAAAAACTAAAAATTTTCCCAATAATTAACAGAGATGTTCTACTTTGTTTTAGTTATTGGATATTTGAGTTTCAGCTTAAAAGACATTTGCTGGTATAACTGTGAAATACACCCCTGCTGATTAATAACGATACCAACTTAAGTATATTTCACTGTCAACAATTTTTTCATCGACATGTTCATAACAATAAAATGAACAAACTGGCTGACTTATGATATTATACTATTCAGGAAAACTTTTCGAAATAATCGTGATACGTACTTTGTTTGGGCTGTTTGATGTGCGGGCACTCCTCATAGCCGGGTCCCTGCGCGAAGGTCACCCCGTCGGGACAGCAGCCATGATAACTGTTTGCGCAGTCACTCTCCGGACAGCCTTCGCGTTCCGCGCCCAACGCCACCGTCTGCCCGCCCGCGCAACACCCGAACTCAGTGTGCGCACACTCTCCCTGCGTAACGGCCGGTTTACTGCTCATCGGCTTACGCCCGGCATGGTCCGGTCCGCGGGCCTGCATTTTCCCGTCCGGACAGCACCCGAACTCGGATCCTTCACACATTCCGCTGCCGAGCCCTCCACGGCGACCTCGTAGCTGGCCCTCCTGGTTCGCGCCACTGGCTGCCGTGGTGTTGTCCGAACAACAGCCGAACTGGGAGGCGGCGCAGTCGGTGTCGGTGGCGCTCAGTCCGTCCGCGCCGGCCCCGTCGGCGGTGTCGTTGGTGCGCAGCATGGGTTGGGAGCAGAGTTTGGCCTTGCGGCCGGTGGGCGCCATGGCCAGGTCCTCGCCCAGCGTCCGCGTGTCGTTGTCCGCCGGGGTCATCTCCGTCGTCACCATGTCCGTCTCGTCTAGGTCCTGGGTTAAAAACGCCGACGCTCCCGATGTATTCGATTTACCACACATCCACGATAAAAAAGAAATACTGTTTAATCATTTTTACACTAGCTAAACTAATTTTTACTGTTTTTACACCAGTGCTCGCTTTTCTTGTTGTTGTCCAATACAGAATATCATATTTATTATGGTGGCGTGTTAAACGGCATAAACGATGGGAATGTTATTTACGGACGGTGTGAATTTATTCAGAAAACTTTCCGGTAAAAAAACGACCTTTGATCGATGATTCGGTACATCAAATAACGCCCGGTAAAACAACGAATTTCGTATTAGAGTGGTTCAAATTTTAATTCGAGTTATTCCATTACTTCAGTTCCTAGTCCTACTTGAGTAACCATAAGGCGCAAAGACCATAAGGCGCAAAGTAATTACGCAAAACAATATGTAACAATTTTTGTCTCCTCCCACCGTTTCGACGTTCTGGCTGGCATATAAACTTTCGATTTTTAGTTCAAAACAGATCGCGTTGTGCGATTTTTCCTTGCTCAGTTCTAATACGAGTACTACTTTACTTATTGTTTAAAATCGAGTGTTTCACTTAGAAAAATTACTTGATTTTATTCTAAAATATTTTTATATTACTGCTAAGATAAAATGAAAACTGTTATAATATAATAATAATATATAATAATATAATAATATATATAATAATATAATATAATATAATATATTAAGGAATAATTCATAATAAAATGGTCTACTGAAATAAAATCCCCGCAAATGGGTCACAGCGTGCCTTACCAAACTGTCGGTGGTGTCGGTGGCGTTCGTATCCGTCGCGTTTTAGGTCGAGCGTCCCGTTGTTGTCCATGGGGAACATGGGGACGGATTTCAAGCGGCGTTGTCGCGGCTTACCTCCGGTTGAATCCACACCGTTGGCCGTGGCATTGCAGCCCGCCCCGTAGGGTCCCTCGACCACGGGGGAATTGTCCGGACAGCAGCCGAACTCCGTCTCCGCACTCGCCACCCCGCGCTGCTTCGATCCGCCGCCACATTTTTGGGTGCACTAAAAATCGTAGTAAAAAAAAACGAAAAATATAGAAGCAGGAGGAAGTATACCACAAAAAAATAAACATACTAGAGAAATGCACTTCGGCGTGCATTGACAGACCGGAGCGAGTTCTAAGCGCAACTGGCGCTACTTTGGCGGTATAGCTTCGCATTAGGTATAGTGCGTAATGGGATAACGGAGTAAGTACATCGTAAAAAAATTGGCATGCAAACCCATCCTGCAATGCGACCTTTTTCTCGTAATGCTGACTTCTAAATTTATTGGAAACTGCACTTAACTAAAAAGGTTCGTCTCAAAATAAATATTCACGAAGCATACACTTTATAAAGTACTGTAAATTTTCATGGGTTATTCATCTGCATAATGCGACTTCGGCGAAAGAGGAATGGACGAGCTATAGTTCCGGCAAATTCAGCAGTTTAGTTAGTTAGAAATGCCGAATTATGGAATGATGAACAAAGTGATATGCAACCTTTAAAGTATTGTAAAACTTTAAAGATAACTTTATCGTTTCAAAACAAATTTTAAAGAGGCTGTTGAAGCTACGAGGATACAAGTGCAATTATGGGATTTCACCTTCGAAGGGTTTTTTGTACCTACGCTAGACGGTTAGTCTACATAAAATTCGGTAAACAGAATGTTCATTAACTGCACAATACTTTCGCCATGGCTTTTATGTTGAAATTACATATTACATAAAAATGTTCCAAAATTTGGAATCACGCATAATTATATAAATGATTAATCGTGCTTCCGCAAAGCTTAAAATTAATATATATTTTACCAATGTACCAAAAATATAAAAACGTAAAAAATAAAAAGCTAATAAAATAAATTCAAAAATCGTAAAAATTTTTAAACTGTTCAAAGAACGTACCAAAATGGGAATTTCGCAAAGGTAAAAAGATGCAAATTAAAATTTAAAAATCAAAATTTACAGAAATTAAATGCAAATTAAGATTATAGAGAATGCAAACTAAAATTTGCAAATTAAAATTCAAAGAAATGCAAATCAAAATTTACAGATGAAATTCTGGTGTAAATTTAGACAGTCAAAATTAGCATCGTGCATGCTCTTACAATGCGAGACAGGGATCGACACTGCACTGCCGACTGGCCTGCGGCTTGACCAGCGCGTCGCATAATTCGTCGTCCACCGGTTCGTAGTCGCTGGTGCGGACACACACCACCGGCCGACTCTGTCGTCCGCCGCCGCAGCTGGAGCTGCAGGGCCCGTAGGAGCGGGCCAGCCAGGCGAAACTCAGCGGGCGCACGTCCTTGGCGCTGTTGGGGATGATCAGGAATTCTGCGTACGCTATACAAAAGCAACTATTTCGTGCTATAACCGAGAGAAATCCCAAACAGATAGTGAATAACGAGGAAAGCCTACAGGATTCGGGTACATCGCTGTCATCGTACGTACAGTCCCTCCACGAACTAACGTCAGGATCCATCATTGAAACGAGGTGGCAGGGAAGGAAGACGAACGTCCACCCTCCACAGGGGCTTCCGGTTCGTAGGGCGGTGGTGTGGGTTCTGGATGGTGATAGATGCATATGGGTGGTTATTCTCCTAAAACAAACCAGAATTTAAATTAATGTGTTTAAACCGAGAGATCCTTGATAATGATACGCAAATAATCGGCATTTCACTGTGGTAAATTTTGTATTAACTTGCAAAGGTCATTAATTTAATCCTTAATAATTTAGCTAGTAAACACGGCGTCAATAATTTCGTAATTATTATACCTTCATAAACTCAGATAACCAATACGCCTGACGTTTTACTGGCTTTTTAATTTTTTTAACTTTTCAGTTTCCGTGCAATATTGTTTGATTTTAAGCAATTTTTAACTGTATTTTTCTGCGCGGTATGTAATGGACAAGCTGCTATGGAGATTCCAGTTCATTTTATTACTGTAATTTCCAGTTACATTTCCACGGACGGTGTGAATTTATTCAAAAAAGTGTTCCGGTAAAAACGGCGTACAGTATAATCGGTGATTCGGTACCTCAAATAAATTCCCAGACGTCCCAGACATCAGACCGGTAGAGCATCGAATTTCGTGGTACAGTGGTTCAAAACCCGATTGTATTCTGCCATTAATTTAATACCTACTCGTCTACTCGAGTAACGATTAATCGGGTGGTATTTACGAAAACAACATGTAAACTTTTTGTCCACTCCCATTACTTTTTAACTTTTACTTCAAAATAAATTGACATCTTGCGGTTTTTCCCTGTTATCTCTAGAAATAATTTTTCTTCTAATGCCGATACCTGGTCTGATTACTAGTGTTTATTTAAAATATTTATATATTACCACTGAAACAAAAAAATAATAATATAATAATAAGTAAAAATAGAATAATAATATTACCTACTGAAATAAAATCCCCGCAAACCGGATGCAGTGTGCCTTACCAAGCTGCCGGTGATGTCGGTGGCGTTCGCAATCATCCCGCGCTGAGATCCAGCGTCCCGCTGTTGTCCATGGGGAACATGGGGACGGACTTCAAGCGGCGTTGTCGCGGTTTACTTCCGATGGAGTCGGCGCCGTCCCGTGGCGTTGCAGCCGGCCCGGTAGGGTCCCTCGGCCACGGTGGAGTTGTCCGGACAACACCCGAACTCCGTCTCCGCACACGCCACCCCGCCGTCCTTCTGGGCCGCTCCCGCGCCGGTTGTTGAACCGAGAAATCCCTAGATAATGATAATTCAAATCATATCACCGAAAAAAGTAACAACCATCCAAACAGAAAATGTACAACTGCGGACATTGCTCCATAAGTAAGAATTCATCACAGTGATTAGCCACTGTTAAAATTAATCAACGAATAACATCTATAATCTATGGTCATATGGCCAGCGTTTGGTTAATGCAGTACAGCGTGACAAAATTAAAAAAAAAACGGTAATTGTTACGGATGACAACCCATTGAACTTCATTCGACAACATAACATGTGGAAATAATTTACGATTTAACGACGATAATTGTCAGGCCTGCCGCTCACCACGACGTATACTCGTTCAAAAATAAGGAATTTCGTAGTGAAATGGCTGAGTGACCCTGAATTCGATAAAATTGTTTGTTAAAAATCGTAACAAAAGAGCAAGCGCGTCCAAGCATTCAAATTTTAAAATGAAAATAGTATTTTTAACCCAAAACATCCCCTGAAACTCTTAATAAACTGACAAGAAAAAATTTTCAAACTTGAAAATAAAATATTGATGTGGAAAAGAAATTGCTTTCTCCCGTTCCGTTGTTTCCGCATAGCGATTGAAGCAGGTACAACTTTCATTACCTGTTACTGCGCGTTACAGAAAATTACTATAGATATGTTTTAATTATTCGAAAACACTACAGTACTTATCATCAGGTCATATCATTTAGGAAACGGTACGCTCGATATACGAATATTTCGGGAAAAACCACATCGTCATTTTTAGACGTCCGCTGGCCTTTATCACAGGGATCGGTATTGCTATCCTCGGAGTCAGTCGACTTCTCCTCTTTATCGCAGCTGGACGAATCCAACACGCTGTCGTTCTTCAGACAGATAATGTACCGCCGCTTCGAGCCGTCGCCGCATTTTTGCGTGCACTAAAAACCGTAAGAAAATAGAAAATTATGACAATAAAAATATAAAAACAGACAAAAGTAATAATAGAAAATAAACAGAACAAAAACTGAAAATATTTATAAAATCATTAATCAGATATATAACACAGGAATAAAACATTCGCAAATATACAAAAATTATAAAAACAGAAATATCAAAACTGAAAAAAGCAACAGAAAATCAGCATTAACAGAAAATCAGCAGAAAAAAAAACAGAATAAAAAATAATTCAAAAGAAGAAATATAAAACAGAAATGAAACACGGGGAAATTATATAAAAGCAGAAAAATTACAAGAAAATACATCAATAAAATAAATGTAAAACCACTGCCGCTTATTTATTAAAGTAGGAGCAAAACCACACGCACCGGCATCAAGGGCCCGCTGAACCACCGGCCGTCGCAGGTAAAGTTCTCCTTGCAATTCTGCTTCCCCTCCAGCTTCCTCCCGGCCTCGCACAGATCCGTCGCCACGCGGACCACCTGCGAGGCGTTGCGGTTGTCCACCGTGCCGCAGAAGACTTCGCGCGTCTGCACACCTTCACCGCAAATGGCCGATCGAACACTGCCAACACACAGCAAAATCAAATCAAATCAGCCAGTTCTCTGATTATAAATACGCGTGTATAGTAAATTTTTACAGGTCTGAAACGCAGTGAGGTCACCGAAATGCAATTCAGCTGACAACTATAATAATCTAAAACGTATTCCACATTTTTTTCCAGGAACAAATTCCATTTTATTTCTACAATTCCGAACCGCCATGCAATATACAGAGATCTCTCTATCGTTAGTAGCAGTTAATCTTTTTACGCAAGTTCAATTCACGCTTAAACCCATTTTATTGCAAAGTTTAAATTCCGCTGGATTATGGTTGCAAGTACAGCCTCAAGAATTGATATGGACCAAAGGTCACATATCAACGCCCACGCACTATAACACCTTCCTATGCCAAATGAAGGCCGAAATGCGGATAATGTTCATCAGAAAATTAATCAAAACGCCGGCAATATCATATTGCAGTAAATGACTCTTGCCAAATATGAAAACGAATTCGAAAATTAACGCAATAATAAAAACATTGCCACAAAACATACAAATAGAAACGGGGAAGCCTCAAAATTGTCATATAAAAATCGGAACACCAACTAACAATTAGTACCTACTTTGCTCCGTTCCGTGAAAAACCACATGGCATCGCAGGGCGGCGCATTATCGCAGGCATCGGACAGTTCCGGTTCCTCCGCCGACGCGCACATGGACAACGGGTAGACGGTGCCGTTCTCGGAGGTGCACACGGCGCGACGCGTCCGGCTGCGCTGACCGCATGTATTACACTGTGGCAGTAATAAAACACAAATAATCAAAATAAAAAAACTCTGAAAAATAATAAAAAATTAACAACCAATAAAACACGAATAATACAGTATAGGTAAAGATCCAAACAAAATCAATAAAAACTCAAAGTAATGTTGGAAAATATTCAAACAGTAAAAAACGAATAATGCAGGTGAAGACCCAAAACAACGTTAACTTAATAAAAATTCAAAATAATGTTGGAAAATAACCAAATTGCGTAATGAGGAAACAGAATGATAACACAACACAAACACAGTTATATTAATTTCAATTAATATTTCATTTTATCAGCATATTAATTCTGCAACTGCCACAATGATCCGCCATATGCGTAGACCATTTTCTTAATATCGGTCAAGCTCCTTACATACGTACATACGTACTATGATGCGAATTTTTTTTTACCGTATTTCTATTTATTTCAACCATATTGCGTATTATACAAATTATAGCAACTTGATAAAAAAATTATGATGCAAATTATAGCAACTTGATAAAAAGAAGTGTAAATTAACAAATACCCATACATACAATTTATTTTTGGTTCTCATAAGATTATTCATTGTTAACTGTCAAAACAGGAAATTTTTTATAAGGACAAAAACACGTAAAATTCGATTTCGGAAAACGATTCGATTCTCCATCCGCATAAATTGTTACACCAGATTTTTACTGAGCAATACGATTCACCGAATAATTCAGTGCAAATCCGTTACACTACGTTCCATCGATAAAACCCATAAAATCAATCCGATCTCTCTTCAGAACTGGCATTAGTCGCAAGATAATTAAAGGGAAATTCCGGATAAGCGCTAACCGGTGACCACCCGCCGACCTTCCAATAGGACACTTGAACTGGTCGCAATTCCTCGCCACTTCCAGTTCAGAATGACCGGCCTTGCACTGGGCGTCCGGCACCACGGTGGTGTAGTCGCCCACAACCTGCACGCAGACGACGCTGCGGTACTGCGTGCCGCCGCCGCACGAGGCGCTGCACGCCTCCCACTCGCCCACCTTCCAACTGCAAGCCAACGAAATAATGTTCAGGAATAAAAAGCCAATTTATTCTGCAATTTGTTTTAATTTTTTCCAGTATTTTCACAACATGAAACATTATTTTTGTCGAAATTACTTTTAAAAAAATAAAACAAAAAATTTTCGAATATCCTCATATGGTCATGCACTACCTCCCTTCCCTAAATTTCAAAATTACTTAATTCTAAAAACTGCGTAAAAGCTGAGTATAAATTCTATAATTAAAACCACGCACTGAACTGCTCATAATATTTTCACCATGATTTTTTGCTAAACGTATTCCATGATCTGGCTTTTTCTTCAAATCTCGTATTATTGGTTTAAATGACACGAAAAAATCCATACAAATCCGGATTTAGTCGTGTTTCCACAGAATTTAAAATGAATGATTTTTAAAAACAACAGCATATAAAAATACCAAAAAGTTACGCAAAGATAAATCAATGCCAATTACATAACACAAAAAATTCTGTCGCAAAGCCAGGCAGTTTATAAAATCAGCATCGTGCATGCTCTTACAATGCGGGACACGGATCGACACTGCACTGCCGACTGGCCTGCGGCTTGACCAGCGCATCGCATAATTCGTCTTCCACCGGTTCGTAGTCGATGGTGCGGCACACACCACCGGCCGACTCTGCCGGCCGCCGCCGCAGCTGGAGCTGCAGGGTCCGTAGGAACGCGCCAGCCAGGCGATCGAAACTCAGCGGGCGCACGTCATTGGCGCCGCTGGGCGCGTAGAATTCGTACAACACACCGGGGTTGGCTTCCTGATGCAGCATCTACACAAAAAAAACCTGGATTTTCATTGCCGGATACTTTCTCAAGACTTTCACTGCAATGTTCACAAGACTTCGTTTTTCGCTAAATATTTTGCACAATTTAGTGGAATTTTCAACAGAAAATTGCATATCCGAGTGAAATACCTAGGTCGCGCACCGTATCCAAAATAATCCTGCCAACTTCAAATGCTTCCTTATAAAATGGAAACAGGAAACGGAGGAAAAAATTCTCACATTCGATTAAATTTTTAATCTGCACGATAACAGATGCGTAACTTCCGATTTCAACAAACTCGTACTAACGCCCGTGCACTACGTTACATCTCTAACTGCAGTCTTCGGTTATATTCAGACTGAAAAAAACTACTTAACACAGTTACACAAGCCAGGATCCTCACATACAAGCTACAACCGAAAACTTAACAAATATATATATATAGTGTTAATAGTAACAGATATTTTATTTTGCAAAGTCTCGCAGAACATTTTGCGTGCCCATTTGCAATGGCCAACCGGTTCGGTGGTGGGTCCGCCGTCCGCGGGCCGTGAGAAATTCGGCCGGGGGAAACATGGGGCTCTCACAATAGTAAGTGAAGAGGGTACCCGCGGGCCGCAATGAGCATCTGGCATTTGCCGCTCTCCACCTTGAAGTCCCCGTTCAAAACGTGCTCGCCGCTGATGTTGCGCATGGCCAGGTAGTTCTCCGAGGGACGCCGCTCGCGGATCTGATTGTTGGTCGACCCGCTGCGGATGATCAGGAATTCCGCGTACGCTACAGATACATCCTTATTACGGCCGTAAAGTTAGAGAAATCCTCGAGAAAGAGCAGCATCGACAAAGCGTACAGGATTCGGGAACATCGCTGTCGTCGTACAATCCCTCCATGAACTTGCAGGACGATGCATCGTCGCCACAGGGCGACAGTTGTCCTCTTGCAGCAGGGATCCCAGTCTTTCAAAAAAGCTTATCGCAGCCAACAGACTACGAAATTCAGGAGCTGATTAGTGATTAATCACTGACAAGTTCATTATTTGGAAAGTCAAAGAAAGACTCGCAATTACTTGCTGACTGCCGCAGAATGCTAAACCTAAACCGAAACCAAAGCACCGAAACCCAAACCCAAACCGAAACACAAGTCCCTGCATCGCTGACGCTGTTGCCTAATATTAAGTACATAAACGTCGGTGACGCAAGGATGAGGGATTCCAGCATGGGCAAATTCACAGTCGGATAAAAACCACCAATTTAGGCAGCCAACAGTTAGAATTCAAAACCTTTTCAATAATGCATTTTAGATGATGATGATGATTTTCAATGATGTATTTAATTGAAAAGACAAAGTCTCAAGACAACCGAGTACAAGAAAGAATCACCAAAGAAATCTTAGAAATGAGAAAATCTATTAAAAGCTTACTTAAATGTCAGTCAATCATAAATGAGCTGAAAATTCAGTTCAAAGGATTCGAACAGACAGTTGTCGACAGACAAACCACCGCACACAGTGGTAGACGCTGCGACAGGCTCAGTTGCATTAATGCGTACGGCGGTTTCGTGTTACCGCCATAATATTAAGTAATTATTCGATTCCGTAGTATAGACTGCAGAGTACAGAGTTAACAGACTGTATAATTTCGCCGTGGTCTCAAATCTTAACGAAAGTACGCTTGTCTATCATCAACGTGGGCATCCAAGAATCATTACGACACATTTCCCGCGCACCCTGACGGCCGTGTTGTCGTCAAGGCAGGCGGTGCCGTCGATGGCCTAGGGAGCAATGCTGCCGCTTAAGCTTCCTTTTGTCAGGCCGGCGGCCCGGCATCGCAGCTCACTCGCATTTGTTGCCTCAATTGATGACACCCACCAATCAACGAGGATCAGATGCGATAGCCGCTTTGTTTGGGTGGACTACTGTTTACACCATAATACTCGTATCCGACTACGTAGAAACTTTCGCCGTTCTTTTTGCAGTTACTCGCAATTCACATGTCACTTTCATAAATTGCTGATATCGTTTTTGCTTCGATTATTTGCTTGCTGGTGCATTTGTCGACAGGGTCAGTCGGTATGCTGCGCATGAGTACGTACTGTTCGTGGTAGATATAGCATACAACAGTTACTTCAGACAAATTTGTTCTGAAAAATAATGGAAATTAAATTAATTGCGGTATCAGTAATAAACGTGCAAGCCATCGGTGCTGTTATTACAAATAAACCAGCAGATTTTATTTATAATCATAACGAATAAAATTTATTTAAAGTATACACAGGTAAAAGTACGGTAATTAAGGAGGCAAATATCTACACTCCAAGTAATATTTTATAATCAGACTGGGCAAATTAGTATTACGGCATGCTAGTATATCGAGATGTGCAGGCGCGGACGAAATCCCCGTTGGGCAGGGTCTGCACGGTGCAGGCGGCGTACGCGCAGGCAAAAGGGTCGTTCTCGTAGCCGTACGGGCACTGGATCGAGCAGCTGCGGGCCGGACATCCCACGCCAAATGCAGAACACGGTACGCCGGTACGGTACAGATTTCCTTACATGTACAGCTACTAGCCCAACTCTATTCAAATATCAATCGGGAAATCCGGAATCATATTTATCCTTCTTTATTCGGCTAGGGCAGTCTCCGTACAGTATACAGACAGTTGCACCCATACACTGGCCATGGATTGATGCGCATCGTAGTGTAACGGCATCATCACAGCCTACGTTACGTCAGCCATTTTGTAAACTACTGCTACATTATCCAGAATTCCAGATATCACCCAAGTGCAGTAAATATTGCTTAAGCATAAGTTTTTTTAATTCTTGTAAACAATAAGATAATAAGAAAAGTTGCCAAACCAACATTACGACGTACATCGTGAGGTACAGGTGCCGACAAATACTGTATGGATAAATGCTCTTATTTGCTACTACATTTTGTGTTATCATATAATATTCATATTTACACTAAATCTCCTTAAGTATTTTTGCCGATTCGGTTATCATTACGAACGCTCGTACAGCGAACTGAGCGAAACACTCTCCACAGTCCCTACATGATACATCAACCGGCTGAGCCAGAAGAATACTCTATATTTCCTGTTGTACATAATATATTCTTCGTTTTGCGGACTGCGCTTAGCACACATGAATGTGCATCGTATTCGTAGTGCAACGGCAACGTACCCTCGGAATCTACTTCTATGACAGCAAATTGTGTAAACTGCTACAGGATTATCCAGATCTGTTTGTATGTACAGTATGCAAATGTCTTAAACTGGTGTATTAATTACGCAAACTTTTTTTCGTAGTCTTGTATAATTTTCCAGCAGACACGGCAACAGTTTAATAAACGCCAATATACCACTGCAATGTTTCTGTTGCTTTGTGTGATTCTGAGGAATTTTTGTTCGGGCTTATTTAATATTCTCATACCGCAACTCATTTCCTTCTCATATTTTCAAGTCCCTGGAATTTCAGGTCTTAATAATTTTTCGGAGGGAAAGCGGAACTTCCCGCTCTACGGAGCCTCGGGTCAAGGCCAGTGCTCCGAGTAGCCGGGGAAGCGGAACAGTCAGCCACCACCCTAGCACGGCCAGTCACCGGCGCATCCATCTCTTCAACGCTTTTTTCCCCATGCGCGGCAATTTTATTTGAGAAGACTGACACTTACATTGTGCGCAGAAGCCTGCGCAATGTTCCAGCGTGTGGAAATGGTTCTGGTTACCTCCGCATCCCGTGTACGAGACGGATAAACACTTTCCAACAAATAATTATATTATACACCGGTAAATAATACTGCCACTGAAAATAATACTAATAATACAGAGTAATGACAATACTAGCAGCGACTTTTGCCGGTTACTGCACAACTGCAGGGAGAAGTTTTGTGGCGCGATGTAGTGCAATGGCAATACATGATTATGATGAATACAGCACCTAAAGGTCGAAATATTGAAAACTATGGCGTTATTAGTCAAAAAATTTAATGGATTCGAAGCTTTTTTGGTGTTCCTGAGTACAAACTCAACAGAAGAATTCGGGGAAAAAATTTTACGTCATTTAATGGTAAGTACTGCTCAGTAGGCGGGGAAATTGCGTGGGCACAGCTGAGTAGGCACTCTTCCGCCGACGGGAAGCGGTTGGCGTTGTCCTGGCAGCCGCCGTACCGGAAAAGCAGACAGGCGCGTTCGTACTGTACTTGCCGAAATACCCCGGTACGGACCCACCACCTTCGGTAATGCACAAAATTATCCGTTGCCGGTTACTGGAGTGTTCGGACATAAGGCGCCGTTCAAATATTACGTAACGGCCAAGGGTCGGGGGGTGGTCCGAGGCAAGGCTGGAGAGGTTGCTCAGTGACCGCTCTCCACATCTGATCTACCACCCGCGGCGGCAGCGCGACGGATACACTGTCATAACTCTACACACGGCGGTTTTGTGTACTTAATCGTCAAATCTCATAAAGTGGAAGTATCAAATGCTGCATACAGTACATGCAGCCCATTCGGTAATTTTTGCCTCCCACCAGTGTGACTGTATTCGGCGCACAAACCGACGCGCTTGTTATAAAACGCTTGTGTTCTCGTACGTACAAACTGTCGCGCTTGTAGTCTCGTACGCCGAATAATACGGATTAATACTGCAGTATATATTATTAAATTTTTATCTTTTCACTATGATACTGGTTTCAGTTAAGCTTACGAACCCTTCAGACCGGCAACAGCGGGCGACCTTCGTACTACCTCGCCATGTAACGGTGTGCCGGTACGGTGCGGTGCACTGCACATTTCCATAATACGAAGCTGTACGCATGACGCACAACGTATGTAAACGGGAGAACTTCCTCTTTGGGGAAAACTGTGTTCAGCCGATGCAGTGTACACAAGCGCTCCGCTCGTTGCAGTATTGTACTTAAAATATGTATCTGCACTACCGCTGTCACCGCGGAGAAGGTGCGGCCACGCCAAGTGGAATGCCGAAGTGGACGATGAGCCCGGGCGATAAGGGCTGTGAAATCAGACAGCATTTCCGTTCCCACGGTGGCACCGGTAACCAGTAGCCTAGCTAACCGCCTAATCTGCCTCTTGCCATCGCTGTTAGGTAAGCCGCGACTATTTTTCACGCTTGCCGGTGATAAAGTTTGACTGACTACCGTGCATGACAGATGGCCGCTACGCATTCATACTAATACATTAATGAAAAACATCGATTACAGTTTTCTCCTGAAGCATGATAAATTTTCAGAACAGAAAAAGTAAAGATGCGTCTATCTGTAATTGTTTAAATATTGACCTTTGAGCAAGCAAATGAAACGCATGCCACAAACTCAAAAAAAAATTCCAGTATTTAATAGTAGATCACCAAGAGCTGTCAATCAGTTACTATCGCAATACTGCAGATAAAAAATCCTGGTTATTTGAAATTCGCAGTATTAAGCATAACGTATCATCATAATAGAAAATACCAGGTGCCAGCGCAACACCGGGTACCCTTGCATAAAAATGGCTAAAAATTCGTAATTTTTTTTAAAAGCCCAGTCATGGAAAAAACTAGCACAAGCTGCACCCATCCGTTGTCGCTCCGCATCAACATGCCGGTGACAAGAAGGATGGAAGAAAAATTACGCGGTCAGATAAGAGCCAGTTTCTTGTGTGAAATCGTAGGCACAACCCGGTGTGTAGTTACCGTCGACGGAGTGTAGCACAATCCGTTCAGCTGCAGCTATCTGCTCCTATCAACCAATGGGCAACCAGACGGAGCAAAGTCCCGCTAGAAATGCCACCAGGCTGTCATGCCAGCTCACTGGCCGGTTCTCCCTCTCTGCTCTATCGAGCGCGCTTCTCGCAGCAGCTGTGGCGTGGTGTCTGTTAATTTGCCGATAATGGACCAGGCGAGCTAGTGTTATTTAGCGCATTTATCAATTACTGTATCCGAAATAGAAAAAAACTACCTGCGCTATGGCCAATGGTTAGACGAGGTGGTGGATCGGATTGAACTGATTTATTTTTTTTGGCCTCAGTTGTGTGATTGCCGTTGGGCGGAGCGCCGCGGCAACGGAGCCGGTCTGGCTGGATTTAACGGATTATTAGCCTCCTTTGTTTTTTAATCATGCAGCTAAGGTAAGCTTTTATTGTCAGGAATATCATCGTTCAATGGTTGAAAATTTAACATATTTCAGTGTTTCCGCACTGGATATAATTAGATGCACTTTGCTGCAATATTACTGTATATTACAATATATACGAAAAATTCGCTAGCTGCATTAGCAGCCTCTGGAGAGCTTGTGAACTTTTCTAAGCTGATCAAGAGAAAAGGCAGATATTGATTACAAACATATTTATTAGAACAACATTTTTCTTAGTAGTGGAACAGACTTTCTTATCGCGGATCTTTTACCTGTGCAGCTGCAGAAAATTATTTTTATTGCCGACCAGTTAATGCGGCGAAATTGGGTAGCGGGTGGTGATTTGCAAAGTTCTGCTTGTACTAACAGTGTCTGTAATGCGGGACAATCGAGGTACATTAATTTATCTGCAATAAATTTTAATACCGGATGATCATTTTATCGCAGAATTGTTTGAGAAATAATGAATTTTTCCTGATTAACAGCCTTTTTTTGACATTGCGGTTAAATACTGCATAGGTCAACTACGTACGACTTCGAAAAAGATCGAAATCGGCATCGATTTTGTTTTTTTATTTGAAATTTATTACACCGTACTTTTGAAATAAAACAGTCACATAGTAGCAGCATGTCGGCAAACTCGAGTTTACAGACATTTATCGCGCTAAACTAATGACTTATCGCTGTCGATCGAGGTGCCGAGCAAAAAGCGCGGGTTTTCCTTTGTCGGCAACCGAACTACATTTTGCACTTAGTACTTACTGTAGGTAATTCCAGTCAATTTGGCCTACTTTTCGGGTCGCTGGTTATACTGTATAAACACGATATCGATATCGGATCACTAGTTTTTTTTCTGGAAGAAGCACTATATTGTCCGTTATCAAAATATGCTGCCTGATGTTTGCTAAAAAACATTTCCAGGTTTTGCTTACGTCTCCTTCCGTCATGCTGTATATTTCTTATCCTGCACAGCGCCGCAGTATTATGTGTAAGCACAGCCTGATTTGTTCTCTCTGGAATTCTACGGTTAATTAAATCAAAATAACGGATTGTGTTCTTTCTGGCGCAATACACAGAGTATTCGCCTAAAGAAAACAGATGAGCCAAGTGCTTTTTATTTGGACCCGGTGGGCATCGAGAGTGGACCGTGGAGTGAGTGGGGCACACGCAGTCAGTGCTCCAAACTGTGTGATGGTGGAATAGCGTATGAACAGCGCACCTGCCGGAATAAGAAGGGGTAATTTGAGCATGATCAGTAATTAACAGCTAATTTGGTAGGCTATTAGCTTCAATGATCTTTCAGTGTGCTAGTCTCCTTATCTACTACAATAAAATTTTTTCTTGCAATCGCCATACGTTGTGTTAATTTTTCGTATAACGTAAATTTATTACGTAAATATCTCAGTTAAATTTTCGTGCTTAAAGAATCAAAGCGGGGACTGTTTTTTCGACAGTGCATTAAACTTTCATACTGATTTAGCGAAGAAATAAATTAATTATTTTTTGTCAGTTTTTTTAAATTTAATGAGTGGTTGATAAAATCAGTTTGTGCATAAGCCGATACCGGTGCTGGTTTTTTTCCGGCAAGTGATTGTACTTCGCTCTTTCTCTACTTATGATCTGCACGAAGTATTTCTGCGGTATTTGTAAAATACTGTAAAATTAATAAGCTGCTATTTTTATTCTTGCTAGTGCGGCGAATAACGAGTGTGTCGGGCCGCGCAAGCGGTATTTCATGTGCAATACGGAAGCCTGCCCGGAAAATACCCCGGACTTCCGTACGGAGCAGTGCTCGAAATTCGACGACACCCCGTATCAAGGCCAGAAGTACAAATGGATTCCTTACAAGAAAGGTTGGCCGCTTTTCTGCTTGATATTTATTTCTGAATGAGCAGAATGGAATGTTACGCATCTCTGGCACTTTTATCAGAAGATGGCTAGATTTTCCCGGCAGCTATGCCATTGTGTGCAAGGAGAGCGTAAACAGAGCGGCTATCGCAGCTGATCATCGCTGATTGGCCGGTGTCTTCAATTGGGTGCTTTTACACTGTGTACACAGTAATTCCCTGATCTAGGTAGCAACAAATGCGAGCTGTTATGCCGGCCTGAGAACGGAAGCTTCTACGTGAGCTTTGCTCCGCAAGTCATCGACGGCACCGCCTGCCATGACGACAACACGGCCGTCTGTGTGCGCGGGAAATGTGTCGTAAGTTCATTCATGATTTCTCAATCTTCGTGGTGGGAGACTACTTGTACTACACCTCGATGGAATTATTTACGTACTTAGGCCTCGTCCCCAATCTGTAGCGCATCGCGTTAAGATACAGCACCGTAGCTAGCTTCGCTGCAGTACAGAAATGGGACACCTTTTGGTGCGCGCCACCAAGGTACAGTACAGGCTGCGCATATCGAAACGGAACTCGCTATCGGTTTCCTGTATCGAATCTTCAGCTTTGGCCCCGTATCGCCTTATTTGCGTCCCATCGCTCCGATCGCATATCGGACTGCTTACCAGTTTTCATGTGTGTTCTCGGTGAAAAATTCGAAGTTTGTTTGAGGAATTTCGATTCTTGGGTTGATTGTTTATGCCATCGTTCTAATTAGTTCCAAGTCTGAATTGTGAAATGTTTGTTTCCTGGATTGAACATTTTTGTTTGCCATCATAGTCCGTAGACTCCGTACTCCGCAGTTAGTGATGCACTGATGAGACAGATCAGCTGCACCATTCGCGCATGGCTAACTTACAGAGGGTTATTCAGCCAAGTGTGGTCAGCGCATTAAAAAAATTCCTATAATTCAGCCGTAGCGCAGAGTCAGATTCTAATAATTGTTCTATTATGACAAATTTGTTTTGATGCTTTTTGCAAATTTTTGTGACAATCGAGCTTAAACAGCCCGCAATATTAGCTACTGACCTAAAGACTCCGACTCTAAACCTTTGACCAGGCAAAATTTGGCTTTCGATGATCTGGCCTTAAAAGGATCGTCTGCTTTTCAAATCTGGATGGTTTTAATTGTAAAAACGACGATCCGAATATTTTTCATAACAAAAACGATTCCATATTCTTGCGCGTTCTTGCGGTAGGACGGTTGGAAAAAACGCGAAAACAGAAGACACTCGCAGGAGCCATGCTCATTGTGCGAATTCTTACTCACGGAGCTATAGCTATCCTTTCGTTCCTCCACAAACTAAAGTTGTAACGCAGGTCTTTCTTCACCATTTACAATGTTCATTGGTCGAAAAAGACGCTCCGCGGATTAAGCCTGGCAGAGAGGAAGAAGTCATCCAGAACCAGAAATGTGCTCCCGGAGCACTGCTGAGAAAAACAAGGATGTTGCTTCCTGATCGAAAAAACTAGCAATTCCATCTGAAAAGGATTGTTCGAAACCCTGACAGGTTTTCAATGGATTATGGCGAAAACCCAAATTTTAAATTAATTTTGAGTAAAGGAATCCATTTCCTATAGCTGAACTGGTCAACTGTTGCCAACATGGGGGATAAACTTAATTTTTCTGGGCTGCAGGATAGCGAAATCTTGGCTCGGTTGAATTCAGAATATGATTAAATGTTGTGGCTATCTGATACAATTTTTAAAAAAGTAAAATGAGCCTGCAACGGCTAAGCAGAAATTTTCCAAAAAGTGACCACACTTGGCTGAATAACCCTCTGTACAAAACATACGGATAACAATTCGCAAAATCAAATCTTCTTTTCCGAGTCTCGCTTTTTTCTCCTATTCACTATTATGTGGTAATGAATGGAAATTCAGTTTTGTGTTCGATAGTACACTCGGCATGAAAATTGTTTTCTCCACTCTCCTTCTTTGAAGCTAATAATTCTGCATGATGTTATTATCTAATAAGATTGAAGAGCTGGAATAAGTGGAATTTTTATTGTTTTAATTTTAAGAAGATCACATTTCGTATGGGCATTTAACTGAGATTTTAAAATGAACAGAAAAACGATGTGGAGCGAAAGCATCGTTCGTTTTCATTAGACATAATAATAAGCATAACTCTCGAGAAAGATATCGTCACTCAATATTCAAAAATTCTCACTCATCTGCAAAAAGATACCAGGGAAAGCCACCTCTGGAGGTGGCTTCGCGTACCTATCGTTTTTCTTTGTATTTCAGGATATAAAAGCGCGTAAAATTTTGGCTGATATGAGACGCGGGGTTAGTACGGGTTTTGAGATACGGTTCGCAGGGTACTGTATCAGAGAGTTGTGTATACGGGACGCATTAGGATACGGAGCATACCCCCGTCCCGAATTTTTTCACGGGTAACGAGGTACGCGAAGCGAAAACCGACATACCGTATCGCGCATCTCCTATTCTGGGACGGTGGTGTCCTGTACCGTAACGAGATTCGCTACAGATTCGGGACGAGGCCTTACTTCCTTATAATACTCCAGAATCCAGATATTATGGCGCGTTAATGCAGGAAACCGCCGTACGCACAGCTATGCATTTGGGCCTGTCGCAATGTTTAACCGCCGTGAGCGGTAGTTTGTCTGTTCACAGCTGTCTTTCAGTGCTTCGAACCTTTTCGAAATTTTCGATTTATTTGGCTGTTTACTGTAGACAGTTTAGTGTTTCGAACCTTTGCTGCTGTTTTCGGTTTTCTATCGTAAAAACGTAAACTGATCGTTGGCATAATGACTTTTAGAAATAATTATTCGCAAAAAAGGTGTTTTTAAGTCGTGAAAATTTGTTGCTGCAAAAAATGCTGCTGGTTTTTAGCGATTGTGAGTTTGACTGCGTCTGCTTGCGGTTCGGTTGATTCATGTCGAAACATGACTGGCATTATTCCAGCAGATCATTGCGAGTCTTTCTTTGATTTTCTATTAATATGAACTGATTAGTGATTAACCCACTCTTGAATTTTGTAGTCTGTTGGCTGTGATAAGCGTCTGGGATCCCTGTTGCAAGAGGACAAATGTCGTATGTGCGGCGGCGATGCATCCTCCTGCAAGTTCGTGGAGGGCCTGTACGACGACAGCGACGTACCCGAATCCTGTACGCTCTCTTTACTGATCTTTGCCAGAGAATTCTCGTGATTCTGATTTCATGATCATGTATCTGTAGCGTACGCGGAATTCCTGATCATCCCCAGCGGGTCGACCAACATCCAGATCCGCGAGCGCCGTCCCTCGGAGAACTACCTGGCCATGCGCAACGTCAGCGGCGAGTACATCTTCAACGGGGACTTCAAGGTGGAGAGCGGCAAACGCCAGATGCGCATCGCGGGTACCCTCTTCACCTATTACCGCGAGAGCCCCATGTACCCCCCGGCCGAACTGCTCACGGCGCGCGGACCCACCACCGAGCCGGTGGCCATTGCGGTAGGCGGGCGATTTCGGGAAGCATAGTTAATATAACAATGCAGTGTAGCTGTTCGCTAAAACGTTAATTTATTGTTGTTGTAGCGGGTAATGTTAGTCCCACGAACGGTGCATTTTGAACATTTCGCAGTTTTTTCTTACTTGTTTTATCGGAGTGATGAGCGAAATGCAAAATAACCCCAGATAGAAATAAATTGACAGAAATAAATATTTTAATTTAATATTAAAATATGTTATCGTAAAATATTTCGTTGTTAACATCTGCTACGATTTTCGTTGGTACAGAACGATACTTACTGGTTTGAGTTTTACTTTTACTGTTTTACATGATTTCCATCCGGTATTACTATAGTTTGTATAACCATAGATGAAACGTAGTGTACCGGCTTTCGATTGTATTGGAAGATCAGGCGCTTTAAAAACATGTCAAATTTCAAAACCTAATTGTAAGTTAAATTGCATGTGTCGGTAAATTTTTTTCAGTTTCGCGTATAAGGAAGCATGCGAAGTTAGCTCGATTATTTCGGATACGTACGATGTATGAGCTATGACGATCTGCGTATTTTGTGTGATTTTATCCGGAAAATGTTTGTAAAACTTTTGCACATTTCAGTACAGTTTTCCGGTGAAAATCACAGTAAATTATGCAAAAAACGGGTGAAAAAGGGAATTTCGTAAGCCTTCCAGTAAAGTCGCAAAAGAGACCGGAAAGCAATATTTTCGTGGGTTTTTTTGTAGATGTTGCATCAGGAAGCCAACCCGGGTGTTTTATACGAATTCTACGCGCCCAATAGCGCCAAGGACGTGCGCCCGCTGAGCTTCGCTTGGTTGGCGCGCTCCTACGGACCCTGTAGCTCCAGTTGCGGCGGCGGACGACAGAGTCGGCCGGTGGTGTGCGTCCGCACCAGCGACTACGAACCGGTGGACGATGAATTATGCGATGCGCTAGTCAAGCCTCAGGCCAGTCGGCAGTGCAATGTCGATCCCTGTCCCGCATTGTAAGAGCATGCACGATAATAATTTTGACTGTCTAATTTTTTTCCTGATTTTTTTCTGGAATTTTTATTTGCGTCCTTTTTTTGCGAAATCCCCATTTTTGTACATTCTGTATAGAAAAGGCCGATTTTTGAATTTATTCCATTTAAGTTTCGCGGAATTAAGCACGATTGATGCGTGATTCCTCTAAGTTTTGAAATATTTTTATGTAATAATTTTAACCTAAAAGCGCGGCGGAAGTGTTGTGTGCAGTTTAATGCACATTTTGATGACCAGATTTGATGTAGACTATCACAACTTCTTCGTCTAACATGGCTTTTCACTTTGCTACAATCACCCGCTTTCAGTGCTTAACTTGTGCAATTGTTTTTTAAATTGACTGGATTCGGAATTTGAAGAAGCGATTTGGAGCGTAATATATTATCAGGATATTGAAAAATAAAGTAAAACTAACCTATAGGACATTTTCGAAACAAAAATAAACTACGGCAAGAATATTGTTTAAAAAACTGGAAAAAAAAGAGGATAAAGTTTGATTGGCTCTTGGTTGGACCATTAGTGTACTTATAAGTGGCGTTTGCAGTTGGAAGGTGGGCGAGTGGGAGGCGTGCAGCGCTTCGTGCGGCGGCGGCACGCAGTACCGCAGCGTCGTCTGCGTGCAGGTCGTCGGCGACTACACCACCGTGGTGCCCGATGCCCAGTGCAAGCAAGGCTGGCCATTCCAAACCGGAAGTGGCCAGGAATTGCAACCAGTTCAAGTGTCCCGACTGGATGGTCGGCGAGTGGTCACCGGTAAGCGCTTCTCGGGAATTTGCCTTTATAATCTTGCGTCTATTGCCAGTTTTCAAGGGAAATCGGATTGAGTTTTGCTTGTTCTTGACTGAACGTAGTGTAATGGAATGCGCTAAAGAATACGAAATTTCTCAAAGGCGATTCTTAAATCATTTGTTAAATATTCATTACGTCGAATTGGCCTGGTTTTGGAATTCATATCAAATCTGGAATTAATGTTTTTATCGTTTTTTTAAAAGAATAAGCCTGTTTTTGACAGTTACTTAACAATAAAAATTTTCATGAAACCAAAAATCACATTTTATGCGGATATTTGGTAACCTCAGTTTCTTTTTTATAGTTAGGTTTACAGGAAAATAATTCAGTACATGACGAAAAACTTTCACTTGCATTCTCAAACACATTTTCTTTCGGTTTATGACATTTGTAATGAGAAGAGATTTGATGGACTGCGTTTAGCGCGCAACATCCGGTTCGGGAGTTATGGTTGTCAGAGTTCCAAAATTTAATGCATTGGTAAAAAAGTCTCGTTATGGACTGATCTCCATCAAATTTTGCAGGTAAATGCATCCATGAAGATCGTTTTTACACCGATCCAGACTTCCATGATTTTTTTCAAATTTTAAAATGAATTTTAAAATTTTTGAAATTCATTTTAAAATTTGAAAAACATGCGAGTACAGTGGATCGGTGTAAAAACGTTCTTCGTGGTTATGTGCATTTACGTGCAAAATTTGAGGAAGATCGGTCCATAACGAGACTTTTGGTACACCTGAATGCATTTAAACTTTTTGGAATTTTCTAACAGCCGTAACTCCCGAACCGGATGTTGCGCGCACAAACGGTTTTCACGCCAGTGTATACAAATCTTGTGGCTACAGAATGTCATAAACCGAAAGAAAAATGTGTTTGGGAGTGCGCGAAAGTGAAAGTTTTCGTGCACGTACACGAATTTGGCACCATGTACCGGGCCACTTCCCTTAAATAGGATGCGGAAAAAAGGGTCTAGATGTAATATATTCCGGGTTATTGTGGCAGTGCTATAAGGCACAGATCCAACGGAAATAAGAATGAAAATTAATATATGTCACTGTGTGCTTGTGATGGGATGATCTGGTTGCTCGTTGCAGTGCTCGGCCATCTGCGGACCGGGCTTCCAGATCCGCACCGTCGAGTGCAAATCCCGCAATCCCAAAGATAAGACCGAGCATCTCTCCGATGCGGCCTGCAACGTTCTGAAGAAACCAACCAAAACCCAGGAGTGCTTGTTGGCGCCGTGCGAAGGCCTGGAATGGGCCGTTTCCGACTGGACCGGGGTACCTTGGGAATTTTAAGCATTTGTTTCGAGTTTTTATTGAATTTTTATTATTATTATTATTATTTCTTTATTTTTAAGCATTTTTCGGAATTTTTATTAATTTTCTTGGACATTATTTTTATTATTTGTCTTTCATTTATATGTTTAATTTTTAAAACTATTTTTTATTTTTTTGTTTTTCTTATTTGTTAAGTTTTCAACATATTTTTGGGATTTTTATGTTTTATTTTTTTGGGTTTTTATTTTTAATAATCGTATTTCATTATTTCCACAGTGTAATACATGCGGTCAGCGCAGCCGGACCCGTCGTGCCGTGTGCACCTCCGAGAACGGCACCGTCTACCCGTCGTCCATGTGCGCGTCGGCCAAGAAACCGGAACTGTCGGATGCCTGCGCCAATGCGCCGCCCTGCGATGCCATGTGGTTCTCCACCGAATGGAGCAAAGTACGTGTGAATTGCCGGTTTTATTTTTAATTTTAACGAATAATTGTACGCTTTCCAGTTTCTCCAGTTTGTGCTTTTCCTGGTAATGTGCTTATGTTGCGTCAGTTTTAATTGTCGTTTTAAAGTTTAACCGATTATTTTTTTCGATAGACCTTTGGCGTTTTGATTATTATACATTTGCAGTGAATACTTTCGGAATTTTGGTTTTTTTGAATTAGTAAGGGCTTATTATCGATGATTACGATACAACGTAAGTTAATGAGTGGAGGTTAACTTTTGTTTATCATGCGGAGATTTTGTAGTGCACTGGCTTTTGGGGATTTATATTACGGTTCGGAATATACCAACACAGTCCCACAGAACTTACGATATGTTGCAGTAATTATTTGAATTTACTGGTTTTTTATAATGGGAACTACAACTTTCAGCTACAAAATAGGTGCGTTTTTGTTACCAAAATTTTCGCTTATTTTTTGTTTACTGAGAACCGGTCAGATTCAGTAGGATAAAATAAGTTTTGCTGTGCTTTGATAGTGTTCGGCGAGTTGCGGTGAAGGTGTGCAGACGCGCGAAGTCTTCTGCGGGACTGTCGACAACCGTAACGCCTCGCAGGTGGTCCGCGTGGCGACGGATCTGTGCGATGCCGGGAAGAAGCTGGAGGAGAAGCAGAACTGCAAGGAGAACTTCACCTGCGACGGCCAGTGGTTCAGCGGGCCCTGGATGCCGGTGCGTACTGCGGATTTACCCTATCCTAATCTACTAATTATTTTGCAGCGGTTTTGTAGTTTTTATTGATGTGTCTTTTCTTGTAATTTTTCTATTGTAGTATACTTTTCCGGTGTTTTATTTCTGTTTTATTTTCTGTTTTTAAAAATACTTTTTATTTTTTTGTGTTTTTGTGTTTTGTTATCTTTTTTTTGTTGTTACATATATTTATATTTGCTTTGTTATATATTTTCATAATTTTTCAGTTTCTTTACTATTTTTAGTGTACGCAAAAATGCGGCGGCGGATCGAAGCGGAGGTACATTATCTGCCTGAAGAACGACAGCGTGGTGGACTCGTCCAGCTGCGATAAAGAAGAGAAGCCGACAGACTCCGAGGATTGCAACACGGAGCCCTGTGATAAAGGTTAGCGTGCGCAAAACAGTGGTGCATTTTTTTATTACATGAATATGTGAATTTGTTGTACAAAGCAGTTTCGTGATTTAGTTCTGACATTGTCATGACCATAATTAATTTCATTGTTGATTATTTTGAAATATTTGTCCTGTATGGCGCAGTAAATGGTAAAACAATTTATGATACACGTACAGTATTTAGGTATCTGTACAGCAACCAGGATGTAAAAACGCTGGAATTGGAGAAAATGATTTACTTTCAGAATTATTATTATATGTAGTTTTAAGATTGAAAATATTTTATTTGAAATTATTATCAAAAAATGTTTTCAGTTAAAAATATTGTTTGCGTTTTAAAACTTGAAAACTGCACTCTCTTGCTCTCTTGTTATGATTTTATACAGCCTGGCCACGCCAAGTTCGGACACTTTTCCCCGAAAATTACCACAAGTCACCCGTCTAGAAGTAAAACCGTATTACATTTTTGTATGAGCATCGTATGTGTCCAGCAACTTTTGCATGTAAAGGTTTTATGCTGAAAGCATGTCCAGAATTACAGTGAGATCGAAACTGGAACGGACCAGCTTCAAAATGCGACTCGACCCATCTATTCTAGGATGCAGCTCCCATTTCACAAATCGTTTAAAAATTCCACACCTTTCCTAGTCCAGCCTAATTAATTTCATGGTGTTGGCTAACCAATTCTCTTCCAGACGGCGTCTAGCACAGCCCGATTTTTACCAAGACTACATGACCTTTGCAGCCTTCCTGCGGGCATCTAAAAAATGTGGGATGACCTTTTTCGGGCGCTCGCCGTACAGCCGTGAGCGGTCGGAGATGTCTAATCTTGATGAAATCTTGTTTACAGATGACTATTCCTCTAATCTAAGTTTTTCATTCGCACAAAAAACCCGATGCGTTTCTTACCAACGAATTATGATATCAGTTATAACATTTTTTATTTAGCGCTTTATTAGATTTTTCTTCCCGTTGTCCGGCACTTGTAGCTTCCTTCCTGTATGATAGATGGCTGTCAATTCATTATAATTTTGTTGCTGGACCCTTGTTTCATCCACGGAAATGGTCAGATTCAAATCTTTCACATTTGTGCGCTAGGCAACCGCGTTCTTCGGCAGGTGTGTTATAACACACAAGTCTATGGGAGACGAAATTAAGTTGGGGTCACCTCAAGGGCTGATCGCGCAGGGCTGAGTTGCTGAACCGTAAAGAACACCTTTTGAGCAGTTATACAGTTTTTAAAAAAATTCACTGAAAAATTCCGTTTCGTGAAGTTTCTAGAGGGGCAGTTATAAGCACCCTAAAAACGACCACTGCCCCGCCCACTTCATCACCGCCCACCTGCTTAGCGATATGTCAGAAGATTCCAGTTTTGGTATCATTAAATCCGCAATAAAAAGTTACACTAGAAAAGTGTTAAAAAGAGAAACCAAATGACGAAGAAAGGTATTTTTGAATTTAATTTATGCAACTGTCCGAACTTGGCGTGGCCAGGCTGTAGAAACAAATTCATATGATTGGGCTTGAGTTGAATTTATTCCCTAATCTACGGCATTTCATATTTTTCAAGGAGTGTACGTCGTCTTACGTCTGACAATTATCGTCGTAAATCATTAATTTCTTTACAAACCACATGTAATGTTTTTATGATAATTTTTCCTAAATCTTATTAAAAATTGTAATGGATTGTCATCCGTAATAATAACCATTTTTACTTAACTAACCTTTTCGCATGATAAATTGCAATTACTTTACTGTATTTACCCAAATGCTAACAGTGACCGTAGATATTCTTCGCTGATTAATTTTAACAGTGACTAGTCATTGTGGTAAATTCTTATTTATAAAGTAGTGTCACTGCTCTTGTACTTTTTTCCGTGTTAATGGTTGTCACTTTTTTTAAGTGATATATCTTTAATTATTTATGATTACAGAGGGATTCCTCGGTTCGACGACCGGCGCGGGGGCGGCCCAGAAGGACGCCGGGGTGGCATGTGCGGAGACAGAGTTCGGGTGTTGTCCGGACAATTCCACCGTGGCCGAGGGTCCCTACGGGGCCGGCTGCAACGCCACGGCGGACGGCGCGGACTCCACCGGAAGTAAGCCGCGACAACGCCGCTTGAAATCCGTCCCCATGTTCCCCATGGACAACAACGGGACGCTGGACCTCAACGGGACGGACACGAACGGCACCGATACCACCGATAGCTTGGTATGGCTTATAATTTAAAATTATAATTAGAATAATTAGAGTAACTTATTTATATTTTAAAAATTATTGTTATAATTATCTGGAATCTTTATACTGCATTCAAAACGGTGGGAGCCTGGGAGGGGACAAAAAGTTTTATTTATTTACGTTGTAATTAACTGGCCATTTTATAATATACGGCTTCAAATTTCCGCAGCAGGCTGGAGAATTTTTTGCCGCTGTACCACGACATCCGTTGATTGACGGGGCGTATACAGTATCTGATAGGCTTGGGAACTGACTGCTTTGACGTACTGTACCTTACGCAATCTTTTTACCTGAATTTTTTGAATGCACCTAATTCAAAATAATAGTTACGCTTACGTCGCTTGTGCTGTGAACTGCAACCATACTATGGAACTGCTTTGTCAAACTACAGCGATAAAAACATGAGAACGTTTAAATAATATAACGGAGCATTATTTCTGTTTATGATTAAATTTGTGTGTCCTCCATCGAAAAAATTGGGAGCATCGGCATTTTTGATGCAGGACCTCGACGAAACCGACATGGTGACGACGGAGAGTACCCCGGCGGACAACGACACCCTGACGCTGGGCGAAGACCTGGCCATGGCGCCCACCGGCCGCAAAACCAAACTCCGTTCCCAACCGATGCTGCGCACCAACGACACCGCCGACGGGGCCGGCGCGGACGGATTGAACGCCACAGACACCGACTGCGCCACCTCCCAGTTCGGCTGTTGTTCGGACAACACCACAGCGGCCAGTGGAGCGAACCAGGAGGGCTGCGAGGACGCCGTGGAGGGCTCGGCGGCTGAATGTGAGGGATCCGAGTTTGGGTGTTGTCCGGATGGGAAAGTGCCAGCCCGCGGCCCGGACCATGCCGGATGCAAGCAGAAGAGCGAACCGGCCGTTGTGCAGGGAGAGTGTGCGCAGACGGAGTTCGGGTGTTGCGCGGACGGGCAGACGATGGCGCTGGGCGCGGAACGCGAAGGCTGTCCAGAGAGTGACTGCGCCAACAGCTATCACGGCTGCTGTCCCGACGGGGTGACCTTCGCGCAGGGTCCCGGTTATGAGGAGTGCCCGCACACCAAACAGCCCAAACAGAGTACGTGCCGCGCTGACTTATCCGATTTAAGTAAATAACTGTACGTCGATTTTCTCATATTTCGGTCACATTAAGTGTACGGTTTCTTATTTTGGTCATCGGTCACCTACACCACCCCCATGTGGCGCGGTACCTGAATAGCTGCTGATCGCACAACGTGCTTTTTAATTTGTTCTCACTGGTAAATTTACTTCTGATCATCGCAACGTATTTGAAATTGTTGGAGTTTGAAATTTCTGAAATTTGTAAACGTGGAAGAGCGGTTCTTTTGCAGTGCACCCGGTCTAATTCCTGCTCTTCCTTTTTTTTATGGAAATGTTTCAGAGTTTATGTTTCGACATTCGCGAACAACGTTTTTCTAAGAAACTATTCATTTCTGGTCATTTTATTTACTAATATTTTAACACCAGGTGATCGAAGTATGAGGAAAACCGGAGTATACCAATTACTACGATTCTTGTCGAGTTTTTTTATTATTATGATTTTGTTGGGAAAAACAGATTGAAAAATTGCGGACAGTAATGGTTTTTATCAAGAAAAATTATGTTGGTTTTTTTTCCTAAATTCACTGAACAGAGTTCTGATCAGTAAATTTGGGAATTTATCAGTTTAATTTATCAGTAATGCCGAACAGACAGTCTTTCAGGAATAAATTGAAGTAATTCTGTAAATGGAAAGTTAATAGAAACATGCATTTCGGGTTTGAATGTACGGTTAAAAATTTGATAATCATTTTTGTTTCCGATCTTTTAGCAATACGTTTGCGATTCTACAGTTACCGTTTTGTACGGCGCCACACTACTACAATTTTATTCACTAATATTAAATGAGAACTCTGACTTAGTTGTTTGTATCAGCAGCTTTGTAATCGAAAAATGCGTTCACTCCGAAAGGAACAATCTTCTGCCAACCAAAAACGCAATGCATAATCTGAAAATCGTTTAAGAAAATTGACTCAGAACATCGTTGCGATGAAGCTTACCGGTAAATGCTTGAAAGTGTGAATATTTGTTAATTCTGCTGTGTTTTGTTGGATTACCGCAGACTGTGAAATCTACTCGGAACAAGGCTCGTGCCGCAATTACAGCATCAAATGGCATTATGACTTCGAATATGGTGACTGTACGCGCTTCTGGTACGGCGGATGCGAAGGCAACGACAACCGCGTAAGCCGCAACAAAAAAACTTGCTGTGAACGTTGTTTAAGCGCCGCGTTTCTTTGAATTTTTCTGCTTTTGAATTTAAGTAAAAAAATTTAATTTAACGTTTAAAACTTAAACTTTTCTTTTGATTTAATGATTTAAAATTTCAAAGTGTAAGTAGTAATTATCTGTATTTTAAAAAGCGGGTTTTTAGTCTTGTTCTTGATTTTCATGTAAGCGCTTATTGAAATTGCATCGACTTTTTTATCGCGGCTGTATATGCAGAATTAGCGATTAAACGTAGTGTAATGGATGTCTCAGCCAACATATGCAGCAGCTTCGAATGGGATTCAGTGGTTAAAACGATCAAGTTTTCTTTACGAATTTTTCAAATGTGGAATTAAGATTTTGGTTCTGTTCAAGAATAGCCCGCTTTTGGCGTTCGCTCAACAAGAATGTCCAACAGATCCGAAGAACCCAAATAAGTCTCCAGAAAAGAAATTACTTATTTTCTGGAAATACATATAACAAAATTAATTTTATTTTCTGGAATGTTTTAATTAAAAACTTTTTTGTTTAAAAAAAATTAATAATCCTAATGTTTTGTTCAGTTCGATTCGGAGCCGGAATGCCAGGCGGAGTGCATCCGTCCCGCCGGGGCGGCGGTGTGCAACCTGCCGAAGGTGCACGGGCCCTGCGACCAGAATCTGCGGATGTGGTACTACGACAAGTACGTCCGCGAATGCCTGCCCTTCCACTACGGTGGCTGTCTGGGCAACGAGAACCGCTTCGAGAGCCGCGAGGACTGCAACGAACGCTGCGTCGAGACGGCCATTCCCGGTAACTGAACGCGATCGTTCCCGCTGATTGCCGGGAAACCTGCTTAATGCAATGAAACTGCAACCAGTGCATATTGTTTGCCGTGTGTAGATGTGTGCCAGCAGCCGATGCGGCAAGGCAAAGGCCCCGGACAGATTGTGCGATGGTACTTCGATAAGGCCAGCGGTCGATGCAATCAGTTCTTCTACAGCGGAAGTGGCGGTAATGGCAACAGGTGAGCGATTTTGGCACGCACGGTTACGTTCCTTTAGGCACGGGTTATATTCCCTACTGAAAATAAAATTGGATTTTTTCTCCCCTTAAGGATTGCAGTTGTATTGCAATTTTGTTATATCAAATTTACCGCCTTTTATATTCCCAATTTTATTTACAAAATTTCCGATAGTTATATTGATTATTTTGATGTGATTCTGCTATTTTAAAGTTATGGAACTCGAAGATTTTGGATTAAATCGATTAATTAACTCGATTTTCTAAATACTGTTACCCCAAGTATGGCTGCATTACCGTTGTTTTTCTAGATTCGTTTCGGACGACCAGTGTCTTAAAAAGTGTGGTGCCGGCGAAACCCCGCGACCAGGTAAATATTTCGATTATTACAATGTTATTGTAAATGTCTTGGACAATTTTTAGTTTATTGTTTTTAATCTCAAAACTATTATTATATGTATCACTACTCTACTATTTATGACTGCTTTTTAGTCTACATATGGTAGCTGTTTGAAGTGACAATTGCAAATAATTGTGAATAATAAGAAATAAGTGTTAATAACTGTAAATAAAAATAAATACTCCTGGTATTGCGGTGTGGTTAGCCAGTGTCGCTTTGCAGCGGACATCTGCACGTTGGAGAAGGCGGAGGGCGACTGCAAGGAGTACTACCCCCGCTACTACTTCGACCGCAACTCGCAGCGCTGCGAACAGTTCATCTACACGGGCTGCCAGGGCAACGAGAACCGCTTCGAGCGGCTGGAGGAGTGCCAGCAGGTCTGTCTGCGCTACCTGCCCTCCCCGCCCGAGGGCGAGTACCCCACCGAGGCCCCGCCCACCGTCAATCCCGCCGTCCAGCACTGCTTCCTGCCCAGCGACCGCGGCACGTGCGAGCGCAGTCTGCCGCGCTGGCACTACGACAGCACCGACGGCGTCTGCAAGCGCTTCTTGTTCTCCGGATGCGGCGGCAATAACAACAACTTCGAGACGCAACTGCACTGCCTCAACGACTGCGGCAACGCTCAAGGTAAGGCGACTTTTTACGAAAAATACAGCAAAGTATTAATTATCCTGCGACTAGTAAATAGTAATTATCAGTTTTTACTGTATTAACATTGTTGTTCAAAGTTAAGAAATTAAATCGTGCAAAGTCAAAATTAAAATTGAATTTATAATATTCTCCGTTCTGTGATATTGCAGCGGTGCAGAGTGCCTTCCAGCAGTATCTTGAACGACTTATGATAAATCACACGGAGTTTAATATTTTTTTGATATGGTTTGCTTTATATAATTTTATACTATGCTATAATTATTATTTCGGTCGTTTATTTTACTGCATTTTTAAGATTTATTTACTGAAAAATATAGTGGAATGCGTATAGTCTCTGAAAAATATAGTCTCAAGAGCGTAGACGCTACTTCAGTTTTAAATGGATTGTAACTAATGGGAAATTTTGCGATCGGCCATATCACAGTGCCATCATACTACAATGATCCATGCAGTGTACACAGCTCCATGTAACAGTAACGCGCGCTAACGAATGAACAGCTGTTTGCGTCGCTGCGAAACCACAGAACAGAGAACATTGTTATATATTAGCCGAAATATGAGCAATATTTTGAATATCAGTGGCAAAAGAAAATGCTCCATGAACTGCATTGGCAGTTTTCTTATTGTTTCAACAGATAAATGCGAGCTGCCGAAGGTGGTGGGTCCGTGTCGCGGGCTGCTGAACGTGTATTACTTCGACAAGTACGAGCGCGCCTGTCTGCCCTTCCAGTACGGCGGCTGCCAGGGCAACGCCAACCGCTTCCCGTCGGCGGAAGAGTGCCAGCAGAGTTGTGCCCACGTCATTTCTCCGCCCACTCCGCCACCCGTCGACGAGAACGTCCACACTATTCCGCCGGAATATCCCGCGCAGACATACCCCACGGCGCCCGGCCAGAATCCCTATCTCGGTAAGAACCGGGAATATTCCTGTTGTTTTAAGTATGAATGCGTTGCTTTCTTCCACAGTACTTACCAAGATATAAGGTAAAATTTTTCCCCGATTCTTTCTGTTGATTTTATATTCTGAAATACCAAAAAAACTTTGGTTTTATTAATTGCCGTAACATTTAATATTTCAACCTTTAGCTTCTGTAGTTTCACTTTCACCGTAACCATTTATTGCCACTGTACTACATCATCCCATAAAACTTCTCCCGTGCAGTTGGGCAGAACCGGCAAAAGTTGCTTTTAGTACTGTCGGTATTGCTAGTATAATTTTCAGTGACAGTATTATTTGTCCGCATGGTAATTGTGTGTTCTTGTTTTTGTGTGTTGAACAGCCATCTGCAGTATGCCGGTGGATGCGGGAGCGTGCGATGAGCGGCAGGCGCGTTATTACTACGATATTTCTCAAGGCAAATGCTTGTCGTTTACTTACACGGGATGCGGCGGTAACCAGAATCATTTCCACACACTGGAACAGTGCGAAGGCTTCTGTGCACAATGTAAGTGTTGATTTATTTGAAAGAAGCTAGAGCTTTGCGTAGAAAATGCTGAAGGGTGCGTTCTTGCTTCGAAAAATAGTACAACGCTAAAACTATGAATAGTCACAAAATTCTTTATGAGTAAAAACTATATTTTTTTAGTACTTAATATGCACCTTATCTGTGTAAAGCCGAAATAGTCTACAAAAGCGCTGCCAGTCAGTAGTGAGCTGGGTCACGTGCGTTGCCATTGCACTACGATGCCCATCAGAACGTGCGGAGTGCTTCAGTAATGTAGTCTGTGCTGAAACTGGGAATAAAGTGGGATAATATATTTCCGGCTTGGTCGCTTGATGCATGGAGGTCATTTCGCTGTAGTCTGTAGTAATGACAATCTGTAATCGTCTCGGTTGTAGTCGGTGTGGGATGTCCGGCGCGGACGTGCGACATCCAGTGCCCGTACGGCTACGAGAACGACCCCAGCTCCTGCCCCACTTGTCGCTGCGTGGAGCCCTGTCGCGACATGCAGTGCCCAGCGTATGCCGCCTGCACTGTCCAGACCCTGCCTAATGGGGAATTCGTCGGCACCTGCACATCACGATGTAAGTACGCCGTCAGATTCGTCTGCGAAGTTTTTCGCACGAGTAAATTTTTCTTAAGTGTATTTTCTGAATTAATTAGCACATTCATTTATATATTTGCATAATATCTGAGTAAAATTTTTATTTGTCTAATATTTAAGTAAAATTTATTCGCCAAATATTTATGTAGTATTTGAGAAGAAAATGTTACAATGCGAAACACTTGTGATGTAGTTGAGTGAAATTTATATGGGAAAACTATTTCGTTGATATCTGCGTGACATATATTTGTGAACAGGATTATTTCCAGATTTATAGAAATTTTTGATGGGTTATTTAATAAGTAGTTGGTTGTCTTGTTTGTAGTGGAGAAAGCCGGCACCTGTCCGTCCCTGGAGGATATCCCGCCAGGTTCGTGCGATCGGGCATGCGGAACGGATAACGAGTGTCATGGACAACAGAAGTGCTGTAATAACGGCTGTGGTACGACATGCATGACGCCTGTCGAACTCGGTAAGAGATTTTCCGGCAGACAGCCCCGAAATTGAAAAATTACTAAAAATTAATCAAATAAGGTGGATACTTCAAGGCCGTTAGGGAGCTAACAAACGTATTAATTATTCCAAATAATGACGATATATTATTGATTTGGTACAAGTTTGTACTACAAAATTTGTACAAAAATTTGCCACCGTTAATGGTCGATCATTTTTCACAAAATTACCTCTGAGGACTCATTTTAAACAACATAATTCAAAATCTGGTTGGTTTTTAGGAGAACAACCACCCGTCTATCCCTATCCAGAACCCACTCCGCCGCCTTACGAGCCGGAACCCCCCGTGGAGGGTGGACGTGCGTCATTTTTCCCTATCATATCCTTTTATTTTTCCCAACGTTTGTGTTGGTTGCAGCGTATCCAGCTTTCATTTCCGCGGGTCCGCATGAGCTGCGCGCCGAACCCGGTCAACCGTTGGACCTGCCTTGTCACGCGCGCGGCAATCCCGAGCCGCAGGTCACGTGGCAGCACAACAACGCCACTTTGCGGCTGGACGATCATCACTTCCAGCAGCGCGGCTCCGATCTGCATATTGAGGAGGTGCGACTGGACGACTCCGGCGACTACATCTGCTTCGCCAACAACGGCCTCGGACCCAGCGCGCAGCATCTTATACGCTTGCATGTCGAATGTACATAGTGCAGGGGCTTTTCAAAATCTTTTTTTGACACTTCGAGTCTGTGCAATATTAATTGGTGATTTTAAAAGGTTGGAGAAGTAAAATATTTTTTTGATAAACATGTTTTTTAATAAAGAAATTTTAATTAAAATAGGCAGATTGAAAAGTGGCTAGCACCTGCAGAAACGTATGGATTAATTTAAATCACAAAGCATTATTGTTTTATTTTTGCAGGTTTAAAAATGTGAATAAATACGCCGTTATTTGTTTGTAGTTTGATTGGATGCTAAATATTTAATAATAATAAACTGGTTGTGTTTTGTAGCTGTGCTGAAGATCGACGGGTCGGACACGATGGTCAGCACCCGCGTCGGCGATCGCGCCATCCTCAAATGCTCCGCCCACGGCGTCCCGCAGCCCCGCATCAGCTGGAGCAAAGGTAATGTCGCGATGACAGCGATTTTAAACGGTCATAAAGAAACCCAATGATCTTCTATAAACGGCATAAAAAATGCAACAATGAATTGTGAGTAAAAATAAATTAAAATTCATAATTAAATTCAGAAAGAGTACTGTGGGCTGAATTTAAGTCTAGCCTGGCAAGACAATTGATTTCTTTACTCTCTCGTTTCTTCTTTCTCTCGATTGTACATTTACTCGTATTTTCATCGAATTAAGTTCGCATTAATTAACTGTAGAGAGTAATCTGACTTACGCCGGCATTTTTACGACAATTTTTTCGCTAAACATTTATACGAATAAAATCAATGTAGGACTATAATAACTGTTCGCTACAGGTGGAGAACCGGTGGGACGGGATTCGCCTAAATTCCGTCAGATGGGCGACGATTCGTTGGTGATCGAGAACGTCCAGTACGACGACCAGAGCGTGTACATCTGCACGGCCGACAACGGGGTGCACGCGCCGGCCATCAAGAACGTCGTCCTCAGGGTGCACGGTAAGCACTCGGATTGTCGTGTCGTTAGGATAAAAAAAAGATCAAAATATTGATTATTTCTGCGCGTACCGCGCGCATTCAGTGCAGATATGCGAGTTAGATGTCTGCAGCTATAAGCTATTTATAAAATTAAAAATAACTATTTTAATAATTTTTTTATAATTTTTAGTTTGTTTATTGATGTTTATAATTTAATTTATTTATATTTATTTTCAGTTTAATTTATTGATATATTGTACTGTTTGACGTGAGGTCATTTTTACTATTAAGCGCAATTTTAAATTTATTTTGTGATTATTGGTGCGGGTATTTCTTGGTAATGTTTTTAATTATCAGTGTGATTTTTGGTTGATTGGTTGTATCTTCCTCTTGCAGAGGAGATCAAAGCGCAGATCATCGCCTCGTCGTCTAACTTCGCCTCCGGCTCGCAGCTGCGACTGGAGTGCCGGGCTAGCGGCTATCCGCAGCCGCGCGTCCGGTGGTACCTGAACGCGCACGAGATCATCTCCGACGGCGACCGCTCGCAGGTCTTCACCAACGGGACGCTCCTCATTAAACGCGCCCGTGCCTCAGACGCCGGCGTGTACCAGTGCCAGGCCAGCAACGAGCAGAGCAGCAGCTCAGATTCCCTCCGCGTCTTCATAACAGGTAAAAACCGAGAGAATTCCTCACTAAAGACAGTTTTTTCCGTACCGCTTGCCACTCACAATATTTTTATTCAGTTGTACAATATTTACCGTATTGTAGGACTTTTTTATATTTTTATATGACTTTCTTTTTGGTGTTTTTTATTTAAGTAATTATGTCCGTTCCCTCTGATCAGTGATTATTATTAATTCTATTTTCACTATCATAGATTATGTTCTTAACTGGTTTCTTAACACAGATTATATTCTTCAGATTTTAATATTTGTGTAGTTTTATGAGCCCTGATTCTGCCGTTATTTGGTATAGACCGTATAGCAGATCCTAATTTAACTACGATTTGCACCGTGAACGTTGACTGTGCTCTGCTTATGCGGTATTTATCGCAGTATGCAGCGCGTAAACGTAGTGAAACGGTTTCTAAGCGTTGGACAGTAAGTGTGGATCCGTGATTAATATGATCACAATTATGTAAATTATTAATTAACGGTCTTATGTCGCTACAGAAATTCTGTACCATTTTTTAATGCTGCTGTGGATAAAGTTGTATTAGAAACCTAAAACCAGTGCAAAGTATAATATGCATTGAATAGTTTTAAAATTAAAAGGTCTGCTTTTCACGGAGTTTTTACCAATTAAAAATCGTTTTCTTCTGGCGCAGGCGCTCCGCTGACGCAGGAGTGCACGGACAACGAGTACTACGCCAACTGCAAACTGATCGTGGTGGCGGAGTTGTGCAACAACGAGTATTACGCCAAATTCTGCTGCAAATCCTGCACGGAATCCGGCCAGATCCGACCCAACGGCTACCGGCGCAGACGGAAGCGTTCGCTGCGACCGGCGCATTTCCTCTGAAGAACAACTTAAAGAAATGGTTGCCAGCATGTTTAGCGACAGACGGTGTTCTTGACTATTTATTGACCATCCCCCGCATGGCATTTACGTGGAGACTTCCGCATTGATCGATGTTTTTTGTTTCTTTTCTCCACAACATTTTCCCGCATTTCTCCCTGCATTTGTATTTGCTTTTTATCGTTCTGCTTGGTGTGCTGCGTTTGTAGGTTTTTATCCGAGTGTTTTATCGATAAATAAATCAATGAAATAACCAATGAATCAATGAATCAAGAGGATCGAGTCACAAACCGGCGAGATAAGAAGCCATGAGTTTTTAATTTTAAGGCAGAATATTTCATTAGCAATTCAAAGGGGTAATGCCGCTTCTGTTACTGGTACGGTTGAGAATGTTGATTTCTTCAACCGAAACTGATTCTTGATATTGTTATCGCGTTGTTGGAAATAAAGTAATTAGAGCCATTTAAAAAAAAATGAAATAAATACGCGACGGAAATTCCCTTTTATCAAAATTAAAGGTATTTCTAATTTTGCTAGCATAACGGGTAACAACAGCAGGCAGACTTTTCGTCGGAAGCGAAGCACAGGTTTATAACTGCTTTCAGTGGTTTTCGTGTGAACAAAGCATAATAAGAGAAATTATTCTTTGATGCAGAGTAATGATCTTGCCATAGTAAGATCTAATGGCTGTTGCTAATGTATTTCTTCCTTTATTGTGAAAGTTTCCAGAGAGACGACGAAGGTAATCGTTAGAGAAACACAACCATGCTTTAAGAAGCTGCATGCAGAACTAACCGGGGCACATGTTCCGGGGACAAATTCAAAAAAAATTTTTTGAGTAGCTAGAGTGTTATCCTGGTTTGCTTGAAAAACAGTTTTATCTGCAAAGGCTCAAAGGGCGTAGCCAAACAGCATATTAAAATAATTTCATAGCACTACGTACAGAGTACTAACGAGTTCGGAATACTATTGTTTTACCGTGCATTGAAGCAGTACTCTTGCAGACTTTTTCCGTACTAACGAAATTTTGCGGGTTGTTCTTCCGTTCGTACGAGAAGACGTGCTAATAAATTAGGCCTGCGATCTTCCAGTTGCGGTGGCATTGACGCTGTTGCCAAATCGTACATTTTCAAATTTGGTATCGGCTGATTTGGGAGCACATTCATATCAGCATTAATTTTCTTGTTTACGGTTTAGCTATTATGTACTTTAAAATTTTTCACAGGGAGAAATAACAAATTGGCTGGAATGGGATGGGTAGGGAGTTTCAACTACTGCAGCGCCCGCTAAATCGAAATAAAACTGTTACAGGAAAGCCGGCACGATACATCACTATCGGATATATTAAGTATTGGCTATCCACGCCTTTAAAACCTTTGTAGATGAAATTGTTTTTTCAAGTTTTTAAGACGTATGAAATATCTGTAAGGTAGTATCTACGTTCCTACAAAAAATCATAACACACTGAATTTACCCGGAAAATGTGCCCGTATTAGTACTGTATAGTGTGTGAGTGAAGACAGGAAATTTGATAACAATGAACTGGAGCTCACTGCTGCATGCCGAGATCTAACGCAGTAGCCGCGAAATTGCTTGGCGAACATGTGGGGGTCATGGGGAAGAAGCTCTATTCAGGACTTTCAGGAAGATCAACATCGCTAGCGCGCAATTGCCGCTTTGCGACGGTTTCTTCTGTACATTGAAACGGTGCTCTTAAAGCATCTGAACTGGAATTGTTTATACAGCGCTTCAAGAGCAAACGACTGCTCAGGTTGGAAAAGGATGCGAGGTCACGAAGCAGCTAAGATTACGATTACCAGAATCGAGAAACACCAGTTTACTGTGCGTCCAGATCGCAGGCCTAATTTATTAGAACGTCGTCCCGTACGACCGGAAGAAGAAACAAAACTGAAATCAAGTTTAGAAATAGAAGGGGCAGCTTCCCGATGCTACACTCATGGCAAGAACAGGTACTCACACATGGTGAACCGCTTAGACAACATTCATCCGCTTTAATATTCTGGGATGGGTTGGATGCGGCACTTCCGAAACGCTGATAGACCAGCAGATCCTTTGGCGACTTTGGAAAGCTCTAACCGGAGATGCTCCATTGCAGATACTGTAATAGCTAATAGATAACATAACATAACACCGAACGCCAACTTCAACGTACCTTACGATACACTGCAATGGGAACGCCACGTATCCGATGCCATTCAGCAACACCTCGAAGCCAACAACCATTAGATTCAACCATTCCGCATCTCCAGCCTCTTACTCGTCATTTCTAACATGCTAATAATAATTCAGATCTTTTCTGATTACTTAACTTCCAACCGCCGTTTTACTCCTTCTTTAAAACATATGTAATTGCCCGCTTGTCATATTACAGAACCATGTGTTTTTATCAACATTTATAGCTATTACGACTTATGCCCAATCTCCACTTTGCTGATTTATATTCTCTCTGTTGCTGCCCTATTATTTTGTGAGCAAACTTACTAACAATCTGTGTGACTAATTTGTCGCCTAGAACAACATTAAAGTTAAGTTAAGTTAAGATATGCTACAGATACGTGCAGCGCAGTCGACTGATCCGCATCCTCGTCGCGGGAGGAACTTTCAACTGGAGCGTGGCCACTGGTCACCGACGGCCTACAAGACCTGCAGCGGGAGAAGATGTCGCGAATTACCGGCATTTGCCCGTAAAACTGCACAAGCGGATGAGGAAGACGGATAATGGATTGAGCATTGTACCTAGTTAAAACTTGGTTCAGCGTGTCAGGGCGTTGTCAGCGCTGTGCACTATTTGGTTTTCAGTATAGCGATATTTTGAAACTTGTTAACCTTCTTCAGTCACGGGTCTGGCAAATTAAGAGCATATGTGTCTAAGCTTTTTCCAGTTGTTAAGATGCAAGTTTTAACTTATCGCTCAACGATCATCTGTAATTCTTCAGAAAGAGTGTGAGCGTACTCGTTGGAGGATAAAGGAGAGCGTATGGTCAGTACGGAAATGCATTTGGCGCAGGTAAAAGACAGCTAATGGAAACTAGCTGATGCGTGTTAGAATAACAGTACTTCGCACAAGGTTGTTTAATAGGCGTATATTTATTCACTAATGCAAGGATTTTTAGAAGTACAAGCCGGTCCGGATGATGAGCATGATACAATACGAGGACGAGCTTAGTACATGTGATAGACAAAAAAACTAGCGAGAGAATCTGATAACCATGCCCGGCCCGTGCAACACGGGCAACCACCCAGGTTTGGCAGTGCTGGTAAACACATCACATTTAATACAAATAATCACCCCAGTAATACCGCACACTTTATTTCTTTACAGTAAAACTTTGACTTTGTAGAACCACATGTGAAATTTCAGAGGACTCACTTTTTACCCATTCTGAAAGATTTTTTAATTTTAGTCGGAGTATTTGTCACTTCGCTAAGTCCGCTACGAGTGTTTCTTTTTCGCATATTTTTCTGCAGCAGTTTTTCTGCTTCCCGTTGCTCGAGCGCTGCGATTACTTTACTGTCCGTCGCAATAAGCCCTGCTTCGGCGCGCAGACGAGAATTTTTAAGTTTTCTCTTTTTCTGGGGATGAGCGCTCATGAAATTATGGTGCCAATCTGCAGCCACTTTGTCAGCTGCAACCGATGGAAGAAAACCTTCTGCTTTAGAGATTGTGAGCGCCATAATCTCTTCTATCTGTCCTTCTTTCGCTGCAGCGTACTGTGACAGGTTCCCCGTTCTACAAGCCTTCAGCGCCAAGGCCATACGATCATCGTACGCTGCTGGTAAAGGCACGTCGCTGGCAGGTTCCTCCACACAATTCTTACTCAACGGTAGGCCCGAAACAACGCTGATACTCGCGCAAGAAATCTCCATCGCAGGTGCAGAAAACAAACTGGCAGGTAGCCGTACGTCGGTGATATTCTCATCGTAGTACATCTCGCCAGCTGAATCTTTATATTTAGATGGTAATTTTATAACATTATTATCAAGGGCTTGGTTAATTAATGTCGGTCACTGGTTACTGGAAATTTTGCGGAGAACCAATTATAAACAAAGTTATAAAACCAAAACAAAACTCGCATTTAAATTTTAGTACGTGTGTGCGTTACAGTAAATAGCAGGCCGTGTTCACCTAACGGCTGCGTGACGGCGCGCTGCTACCGCCAGCCTAAGGTGGCTGACAGTGTTGCACAGCACGCAAATGGTTATCAGATTCTCTCGCTAGTTTTTTTGTCTATCACATGTACTAAGCTCGTCCTCGTACAGCGAAAAGTGTAACCCGAGTAAAACAGCTTGTAGGAAAAACGTTAAGTAGTTTAACGTGTAACTACCGCTAGGTGAACGGATGTGTGTCAATTTTAGCCGTCTACTAACGTTTAGCTAATGTTTTTTTGCAAGTTGTTTTACTCGGGTAAATTACTGTAATGGGTAACGGCGAAACGTAGTCCAGTGGTCATCGTGTTAAACGCTAACAGCGCGCTCAATATTATACATCACCTGTACCTTTACGTATCATCATCCGGACCGGCTTGCACAAGAACACACTCGGAGCAATACTGAATAATACAGATACTGCGGGAAATTCTTTTCAGCTTTTTCCAGTCGCTGTAAGCGGCGGTGGTAAGCCATGATCATAATATGCTTACATGTGCTTAGAGCTGTACAGTAGCGCTTGGAGTGATTTTTGTGAGTATCTGTACAGACTGCAGAGTAGAACAGAATAAAGTTTAGAATCGATACCGAACATTTGACGTAAATGTACCCGCTCTGCATGCCTTATTTTAACACGAACCAGTACTCTGTAGTTCACACTTGACATTTGCGATCTCTGTACAAGCGTACAAGGAGATAGCAATCCACAGCGGAACTAATGCAGCATTTTTTCGGCTAAACGCTCGCCAAAGTGAACCGACAGCATTTTTAATGCGCTAAGAAAATTATCAGCTCGTCAATCATTTGATGCGCGATTAAAGGAGTGCGCAGAATGTATCATCAAACCTGGTGTTGTTTGTAAAGGCTCCACGATAACAGTGCGCAAGCCATAGCGTACGTGCCGTACATCCTTCATGTGTTTTTAAGACGTTCGTAGTAATTCTTCAGTGATGTTCCTTACAGTATTATGGTTTTCTATTCTCCTTCCGATAGCGCATGGAAGTAACGTCTCGGTGCCTACAGGTAAATTTCTCTATTTAGCTGCCTAAAGTTTCAGTAAAATCACTAAAATTGCAAAATTCAAACAACGTTGAGAGGGATGCCTCTAGAATCTTGAGTACTTGACTGAGCTTTATTTCTAATCTCTCGAAGACTGGAGAAACTTGTTCGACGAGAGGATTTTGGAGACTGCAGAACTGCAGAGAAACGGCAGCAAGTTTTATCCCGACGACATTATTGGGGATAGTGACGATGTTGATGGGCAACACAGTCAACACGCCGCAATCAAAAGAACCGGTCTGCTTTTGGAGCATAACTACTGGCCAAATAACGGGAAGAACATACCATTTGAAATACGTAGCTTTGGTAAGTTGCAGTTTCGTTGAATTTCTTGGGATCATGTGATGTTTTTTCCACAAGCGGACTTTCGTGTACGGTGTATCTCCTAGGTGAAAATGAGCGGCGTCGGATACAGCAAGCGTTGCGTTTTATAGAAAGCCGAACCTCGCATTGTATAACGTTTAAATATCGTGCGAACACTGCAAATGAATCGGCGTATATTGCATTCATGCCCGGGAGAGAAGGGTAAGGCATTAAAGAAACGGTGCTGCATCGGATAAAGATAAAACCGCAAATGTTCCATCATGATGCCAATATATTAAAGTAAATAACTGTAGCCTGTATACCGGAAGCTTGCTGTGCCTTCGGTCGCTTGATGGCTGATTTCTTAATCATTGCTGCCCGGACCCTTTTACTTATTGACGAAATTACGTATACAACATAAAAATCTTTCTAACAAATAGCATTAGTTTTATACGTACTGCAAGTCTACAAGCATATGCAAAAGACCGAGGTCAAAGTAGCAAAACGGACGGAGGAGTGAACACCGCAAACGACAGCGGTACAAACATGCAGTACAGCAGCAACAACTACTCATAGCAGGCGGTTCGCCGCAGGACTGTTGTTTTTGTACACTATAGATCTAGAAGCTTCAGAAAGACCCATAATAGGTTTCAGATACACTGAACACCACTCACACTAATTGCCGGTCGGCAGCAGTGTCAGAATTTTATTGTTTACAAAAAAAAGTGTTAGAAAATATACAAACTGCGTATTTAAAGTGGACTTTATATAAGCGGTAGCACATTCTACCCGTTTTCATAGCGTTACCACCTATTATGAAATCCACTAAGGTCTAAGGGTACTCAACTACATGTAATTATCCTTTACGAACGGCTCGATAAGTTATAAATGTCCTTTCAGTGCCCTTACAGTGTACAACTGTACATTACTGGTTGGTCATCTATCAATTTAACGCTACGGTAAATACACAGGATATGTCGAGCAGACGTCGGAAGGGTACCGGGATTTGTTACCAGAGTGCAACTGAGCGCTGATTGCTTAAGCTCAATGGGAATTATTCTACACGAAATCCTCCACGCTCTGGGTATGTTCCACGAGCAGAACCGTCCAGACAGGGACGATCACATTGAGATCTTCACCGCACACATCGCCCCGAAAATGCAGCACAGTTTTGAGATCTTACCTAACATGTCTGTCCACGGGACCAAATACGATATCGAGTCGATCATGCACTACGGACCCCTGGATTTCGCGCTGTCCTCTGCACACCCGACCATGCTGCCCAAGCGGCACGCACCACGCATGGGCCAGCGCCGGACTTTAACCCACCTGGATGTGGTCAAATTGCAGAACGCGTACAGATGTGATTGGCCAGAGCCGGGCGATGAACACACAGTGCAACGCTATTCTCCCACCAGTTCTATTTCGACGACCACAGAAGCTTCTTTAAAAGCCAATATGAGCAGCACAACCTCGGAATTGCTTGTTACTGATACTTTACAAAGCAATAAACATATTTCCGTTCACGTAAACGAGACGGTCACTGTTTCAAGGAACTCTTCGAGGAGTACTAGAGTATCGACAAAATTTACGACTGCGAAATATGATGTGAATGCCACAACTTCAACGACGAAGGCTGTAATTCCCTTACATGCAACTACAGGGGAATTTATTGCCACGACAGCCAAAAGCAGCTACGATAATCCGGTAAGTTTATTAACAGCTACATGGTCAGTTACAGCGGCTAAATGGCTTTAATGTAGCGCTAATTTTGGACTCTTAAGCCCTTTAATTTGCGGCTTATGGTCAGCAAGAAGCTTATGAGCATACAGCATACTACATACTAGTACGCAGTGAATTTGGTAATACTTTATTGGAATTCAGGAATCGTTTATAACTTGAGATCGAGCGTCTTTTCCTTATTTCCCGATACACCAAGGTTTTAGACTAATGCGATTATGCTAAAAATACTAAAACCGCTTGGCGGTAAAGTGAAATGGCGGCACATGCATAGTAGGCCGACGCGAACTTCATTAAACACAGTACCTGCCCTACCGCGAGTATTCAACGGAAGCCCCGCCCCCCGCGAATCCCGCCGTGGCGCACTGCTTCCTACCCAGTGATCCCGGAACATGTGAGCCCAGTCTGCCGCGCTGGCATTACGACAGCACGGATGGGGTATGCAAGCGATTCTTCTTCTCCGGATGTGGCGGGAATAAGAACAATTTCGAGACACAGCTGCACTGCCTCTTCCACTGCGGCAAAGCTCAAGGTAAGGAGGTTACAGTGCGCTCTATATGCATTAGCGGTAATTTTACGTACTGGACTGTTGCTTTTTGCTTAGATAAATGCAAGTTACCGAAGGTGGTGGGTCCATGTCGCGGCCTGCTGAACGTGTACTCGTATTACTTCGACAAGTACAAGCGCGCCTGCCTGCCCTTCGAGTACGGCGGCTGCCAGGGCAACGCCAACCGCTTCCCGTCGGCGGAAGAGTGCCAGAAGATCTGCGCCCACGTCATTTCCCCGCCCACTCCGCCGTCCGTCGACGAGAACGTCCACACCATTCCGCCGGAATATCCCGCGCAGACCTATCCCACCGCGCCCAGACAGAATCCCTATCTCGGTAAGAAACGGGAATTGTATCTGCTGCACTAAGTGTAATTGCGTTTTGTTCGACTCTGAACAAACTTACCATTACCCGATCCTAAGGACTAATTTCAAACGATCCCTAAAGGATCGTCAGGTACTGAACTTTAGAACCGCAGTCGAGCCAAAGAGGAGCGACTGTATATTGAAAAATTTCTGGATGGAGAGTGGAGCTCTATGATTGGGCGATCGTGTTACGAGCACAAAGGGATACAGATTTCGAGCACCTAGCGACTCGTTCTACGGTTTACCGATACTGGTCAGTCGAGTCAAAAGAGAGTCTTTTTCGATGAAAGAAGTATGCTATGGGAATCAGCCGCAGCTCATTTGGGGAGCAAGTCACACTCGTAAATGGATCGGAAGTAGCGGATTCACTTTTATCAGTTATGCACCCAGCTTGAAATATTAAATTTTATTAATTTCGCCTAAAATGTTAATTATTAGGTGACAGCGGAAGCAACTGATACGAAGTCGTAACAAGTGCAAAATTACTAAAAAACCAAGAATCAATTACTAACTTCACCAGTCAGTTAAAGACAACCGCGTCATATACAAGTAATATAACTATAGAACTTATAAAAATGAATCCAAATACAACTAAACAACATGCAGTAATAAAAAAGGCATTTTTATCAACAAAACTACCGGTATCTTTCCTGCTTTTATTTTGGCGGTCGTTTCCGGTAGTCGGCTGTGTTCGGCAGCGCGCGATTTCGCGGTTCTTCCACTAGCTCAAGGCTCTGGTGGTTGTACCTCAGTGTCCTATCGTCGCGAAGTCAGCAGTGCGGACACAAGCTAAAAATATAAAATTTAAACCGAATCGATCAGAGCCTCAGTTGACAGATTTTATTTACGGGATGGAATCAGAGTAAAGCTGGATACCTTTAATTTCATAGCGCCAACAAAGACTTTGCCAAACATGCGCAGCAATTTCGCATCCGTTGCTTTTGATCAGAAAATTTCCGTTTAATTGACTTTCAAATTTTTCTGCGAACTCGCATCTGCAAAAACAAATGTTTCATATAATTAATATGTTTGCGCGCTTTGAAATCTCACATTTTGTTTTAAAGACTTGCATGAATTTCGACAAAATTAAGATGATAACTAATATTAACTATAAATATGTATTGCAGCATAAAATTCAATAAACCTCATCTAATTTTTAATAATTCGATTATAATTTTATAATACAAAATACCAGACTAATTTACTTTGAACTTACAATAAAAAGTTATTGGTATACATTTTAGTTATTTGGTCGTAAATTTAGGCTGTAAAATCAATAGACTTAGTGGTCCAACATACCTTCATTTGTTCTGGTTTCACTGTTCCTTAATGCAACTGCCCCTGCAGTTGCACAGTAGCGAAATCGCCTAGTCGGGATGGAGGGGTAGAAGTAGAAGTCCAGCGACGAATGTTAAGAGTAGCACGTCTGAGGTTAAGCAGGGCAGTCACACTGTCACAGGCTGGACGTTTTCAGGACACGCTTTCCTTCTTTAAAAGTAAGCTTATCTTCTACAGTAACTTATCCCGAAATAATTTTCGAAATGCGAACTCGCACGCAACTGATGGGCAAAATATAGCTGGGTTGGAAGGAAAAGGAAAAGGGGATAAAGTTCTTTGAGTTTTTTGAACCAACAAACTCAAGTGAACGTTGGCTTGAAAAAAGTTTTTTTCAAAAAACTGAAAGCATGAATCTGCAGGCTGTTCAGTCAGACTGCAGATTCAGCCAACACGCTGCATCACAGCAAGCTCCATGCCGCCATCTTGTGTACGCATTTGACGATGGCCATTGGACACACAGCGAAGAACACGCCTTCTCTTTATTAACATACGGTAAATGTACGTACGCTGTTAATGGGCAGTGGGCACTTTAGCCCCAGCTGCGGTATGCCGAGCACAAGTCGCTCGACTCGCCAGCTCTCAAGGCAACCGCAACTAACTGCCTTTAGACCGGGTTAGGCAACGTACAATTTCCAGTTGATTCTGTACTCTGTAGCTTGTAATGCCAAAGAAGTTTCTCTTTTATTACAGTAATTTATTTTTGACTCTGATAATGTCATAGGTATGCCGCGTACTTTCTCAACCTTAAAAGTCTGCTCCTATGTTGCCATTGCACTAGATCAACCAACAGAACTTCTCCGCTTGAGCGGTGCAGTAAATAGGCCAACTGGCTAAAACACTTAGTTCTTGGTCTGCCATTGCCAATAATTATTATGAGCGATTTCATCAGATTGTAAATATGCAGTCGCCATTCAGGGAAGCGCAGTATTATTTGTCACTATCTGTTGTTTATTTGTTCATGTTCTTTGTGTTGAACATCAACAGCCATCTGCAGTATGCCGGCGGATGCGGGAGCGTGCGACGAGCGACAGGCGCGTTATTACTACGACATTTCCCAAGGCAAATGCCTGTCCTTCACATACACGGGATGCGGCGGTAACCAGAATCATTTCCACACACTGGAACAGTGCGAAGGCTTCTGCGCACAATGTAAGTGTCAACCTTATCAAATAAATTTGCCGTGTTCGGGAAAACAAATATTGAAGAGCTTCCTTTCGCTCCGAAGCAGAATCAGAAGAGGCTGAAATAGCAGTGAGTGGTTAGGATGTGAAAATATATATGTGATATGACCGCAGACAGCTTCTTCCGAACGAAAAGAATGCTGTTGTAAATTAAGCATAGGAAGAGTATAATTAAATGCCATATTTGTGTAATTCAACCATTGCTGTCTCTGTTGGACCATCACAAGAACTATGAAAAAATTTGTCCTACTTGCATGCTATCTGACTGATAGCGATAGTGTACAAAGTTGCTGAAAGCATCCATATGGTCATGACGTTGCCGTTGTACTACGATGCACCTCATCGAATGTTGGGTTTAACTGACTTCAGCCTGTACCGTAACTGGAAAAAAAGAGGGATAATAGTATTATTCCGGGTTTGTCGGGTGATAATTCAAAAGCGTTTCGCTAGAAGTTGTAGCAAAATCTGTACCGTACGTTGCAGTCGGCGTGGGATGTCCGGCGCGTACCTGCGACATCCAGTGCCCGTACGGCTACGAGAACGACCCCAGCTCCTGCCCCACCTGTCGCTGCGTGGAGCCCTGCCGCGACATGCAGTGCCCGGCGTATGCCGCCTGCACTGTCCAGACCCTGCCTAATGGGGAATTCGTCGGCACCTGCACATCACGATGTACGCCGTAAAATTCATCTGCGAAGGTTTTCGCACGAGTACGGTAGATTTATTCTTAAGTATATGCTTAATGTATTTGCACATTCATTTATATATTTGCATAATATCTGAGTAAAATTTTTATTTGTCTAATATTTAAGTAAAATTTATTCGCCAAATATTTGTGTAGTATTTGAGAAAAAAAATTTACAATGCGAAATACTTGTGATGTATTTGAGTAAAATTGATATGGTAAAACTATTTCAGTAATATCTGCGTGACGTACATTTGTGAACAGGATTATTTCCAGATTATAGAATTATTTGATGGGTATTTAATAAGTGGTTGGTTGTCTTGTTTGCAGTGGAGAAAGCCGGCACCTGTCCGTCCCTGGAGGATATCCCGCCGGGCTCGTGCGATCGAGCATGCGGTACGGATAACGAGTGTCATGGCCAGCAGAAGTGCTGTAATAATGGCTGCGGTACGACTTGCATGACGCCCGTTGAACGCGGTACGGCATTTTTGGGAAAAAAGTTTTGAATTTATACAAAAACAAGATCAATTAATTACATTAGAACTAATTTGTTTCTAAGCAGTTTGCCTAGTGAATATTGCACAGAGCCGGAATAAACAATAATACACGCAAATAAAAAAAAAATAACTAAGGGAGCCCAGCAAAACACACCAAGCCATAAAAAGTATTTAAATTAATGACCTTTTGCAAATTAGTACTTCATTTGCCACAATTATAAATGTCGAATACTTTCAAAAAATATATACCATGTATTAGAAGAACAACCACCCATCGGTCATTATCCCGAACCCACCCCGCCACCCTACGAGCCGGAATCCCCCGTGGAGGGTGGACGTGAGTCACCCTTCTATAGATCTTTTTATTTTTCGGAAAACGTTATTAATTTAAGTTAATTTCAATCATAATTCCGGTATGAGTTAATTATTTGCGATTTGGTTACCCGGAAATGCTTGATTGTGAATGGTTGTGCTGCAGCTGTACTGACGATTGACGGGTCGGGCACGATGGTCAGCACCCGTGTCGGTGATCGGGCCATCCTGAAATGGTTCATTACGCCGATCAGAGCGTGTACGTCTGCACCGCCGACAACGGGGTGCACGCACCGGCCATCAAAAACGTCGTCCTCAGGGTGCACGGTAGAGATTCGGAATTCCATTTGTCTCGTTGATTGATGAACGACCGATACACTTCACAGCAGTAGAATTGATAATTGCTATTCCATTTTATTCATCATCATTGTTATGAATTTTAAGTCCTTTTTCTACAGATATGGGGTGTACCACTGTGTACGCAATAACCAGCAAACTCTTTATACTGTAAATAGAATGTTACAGTACCAGAAGTACTTAATCAAAATAATACACTGTTTACTGGTTATGATGGTTTATTCTGATGCTGTTATTAGTATTAACTAATGAATATTGTTCCAGTTCATAGTTTTTGAATGGACGTTATAATGTACTATTATTCCTACGTTTACAAGAATAAAAATAAAATTAACAGAACTGTAATTGTGATAATATTATTGTTGATCGTCATTTTAGAGGAGATCAAAGCGCAGATCATCGCCTCGTCGTCCAAATTCGCTTCCGGCTCGCAGCTGCGGCTAGAGTGTCGGGCCAGCGGCTATCCCCAACCTCGTGTCCGTTGGTACCTGAACGCCCACGAGATCATCTCCGACGGCGACCGTTCGCAGGTCTTCACCAACGGGACGCTCCTCATTAAACGCGCCCGTGCCTCAGACGCCGGCGTGTACCAGTGCCAGGCCAGCAACGAGCAGAGCAGCAGCTCAGATTCCCTCCGCGTCTTCATAACAGGTACACCGGCGAAATCCCTCGCTCCTGACAATTTTCCAATTAATCATGTTTTCTGTTTACTGGGTGTTAACAGTATTTTTATTCAGTTGCTTTCCCTCAAGTAATTTTCCTTTTTTTATTGTTTCTTTTTTTGTGTTGTTTGTTTCACCTTTAATTTTATTATTACTTATTACTGAATATTATTATCAGATTTTATTACCACCCGCCATTTTATTGAAGGTTAGCACATGCTGTTTGGATGAGTTTGTTTTTGATATTTTTATGGGCGTTTTCAATCATTTTTCTGGTACAATTCGGTTATCGCAGCTTAATAATTTCACTGGGTTTCCGCCGCGCGCGTCATGCAGAAGTTGACCGTATCAGTATATCGTTATGTTCGCGTATAAACGTAGTACAGATCGAACGGCGTGTAAGATTCTGACCAAAAATTATAATAAAAAAAGTAAACTTATATGTTTTATTAATGCTGCTGTTGACAAAAAATACCGATAAACTATCAGAGAAAAATATACGCCAGGTATGCCAAAAATTAAATTCTATTTTTCACGAAGTTTTGCAACAATAAACTGCTTTAAACTCGCGCAGGCGCTTCAATGACGCAGGAATGCACGGACAACGAGTACTACGCCAACTGCAGATTGATCGTCGTTGCGAAGCTGTGCACTACTAGTGAATATTACGCCAAATTCTGCTGCAAATCCTGCACGGAAGCCGGCCAAATGCTGCCCAACGACTACCGGCGCAGACGGAAGCGCTCCCTGCGGCCGACGAAAAACATCTCCATAATTTAATTTCCTAGATTGGCTACCCTCTGACGGTGTCTGATTTGATCTGTGCATTGACTGACCAACCCTCTCATGACGTTTACGTGGACGGTCCCCGTATGATTTCTTTCACCACGAATAATTTTGCGCATCTCCTTCCTAGTTACAGTGCTTCGTCGTTTGGTGCGTGCTGAGTTTGCAATCTTGTTTTACTTGAGTATCGGTAAATACGTGCGAGGCTGCGGCGCAACTTCCTAAACGTTCATGGATAAGAAAAAATGTAATGATGGTTGTAATATTAACAAGTTATTAAAAAATAGCAAAGATATTTTGTGATACATTCAATATTCGGTTTAATTTTCTCTAACTGCTAAGTCCATAATACGAGTAACAGGCCTTAAACACAGCGATGACAGCGTTAATCTTACAATAAAATACTTAAACCAAGACGTAGTTTTGAACATCAGATATTACTTAGACAAAGAAATATCAACAATTCAGGCACTCCAAACAGCGCAACAAAATTCACGCAACGGACACTTTACAAACAAGACTGTTGAGAACAATAACCTTAACCATAATAATCCAGATTATGTATGCTTTATTAATTTTGCTTAAGTACATGCTGAGATAAGTTAATTCAAAGTCAATTTTCTTGTTCACCTCGCTGAAGTTCAAACTGCAAGTAAACGGTTAAAGAAATAATAATAAATACCAAAAATATGTGTGTGTTTTCTGCGCTAAATACATGACCTACACAGTAGAATTCATTTCATTGGATAATTACCGGCATTGGCCATCAGGGTCGCTCGGGCATCCCCACCGCCCATCTCACAATTCTGGAAATATAATTCCGGAAACTGTCCTCCAAACACATTTGTTCCGTTCGTCTCTTGGCTGCCTAAACAACACACAACCACAAACTATGTCCATAAAACAACTCGAAGAAACTATACTACCGAAAAACAAACCGTAAAATATTTATTCATAAATAACCATAGAAATTAAATTTGTGAATCGATTGCGCACAGCATCAACGAAAAACATTAGCATCATGGCTTGGGCACCACCCAGTATATTGCACTGGCTTACCCTCGGGATTTTTAGCTGTCCAAAAGGTCACCGATCGCAGATTGACAGTGCCAGCGGCGTCGGCACAATGGAAGCTTTTTTCGCCAAACCAGCAATTGGTTAAACCTTGCGCCTGCTATATTACACACAGTCAAACCGGTTTTTCCTTACATCATTTCAGAAACGGTCCGGGAGAAAAGCACAAAACACGGCATATGCAGATACGGTTTACTCAATCGCGTGATACGAGCAGATGAACCAAAAATTCTAAGATGACATTTTGGTATATAAGTTTTCCATATGCCGCACTTTGTTCATAATAAAAGGTCACCGATAAATTTCAAAATTTCGAACATCGGTGTTTATAAATACATATTGCTTTATAAATAAAAATATAAATACAGGGAAAAATATCGGAACAAAATTATTGCTATATAAATAAACGCTTTTGTACAACAGATTACCGATAATTTCGCGAATAGGACGTAATTGGCATCCGGCTCGATGTACACCGGTTCGGCTAACTGCAGCCGGATGATCACCGGTTCCGTCCGACTGCCCATTCCCTCCAGCCGAAATGTTTGTTCATACACCGTCTTCACGATGATTTTTGGTGATTCATTCCGCGTCGGCGGTGACGGTGGCTGCTGGTCTAACCGAGCACCGCCTCGTTCCCAATGGTCGCCGCGACCATCCCCATCTCGTCCGCCACGTTCTTCATCATCCCGACCACGATCCCGATGACGTCTGCTGCGCCCGGGGCCCCAAAAGCGACCCGGTGGAATGGGCTGCGATACATTGGTGGGCGGTGGGGGAGCAATTTGCTCCGTTTGTTTGAAGAGCTTAAAGGTCAGCGCCCCGTGGTAAGGTGTATCCATTCCTGAACCGTAGTAACCGACCGCCACGAGTTGTACACGGGCGTCGCGTGGAACACTGAATCTGTAGAATTTATTCAGAATCCATCAAAGCACTTTACTAAAAACTCAGCTAATATTAAAATCAGAAACTATAATATAATAAACAAATATAATAAATACTAAAATATATTAAATAATACCTACATTATCGACCGAAGCGAAGCGTAGTTCCTCTATGTTCAAAAAAACAGGAATTTTGTCGGTCACGTCAGTCATGTCGGTCACGCATTAACAAATTTAAATAAAAAATGGAAGAACACAACAAAAAATAATAAACAAAAAAGATAAAATATTTTTTAAGTATACAACAAATGTATTTTTAAAACAGTTTGTTAAACTTGGTTTCCCGCTTCGCTTCGGTCTTTTAGCGCAAGCAAACAGCGGTGCGCTTTCCTAGTATAAAAAATATTGAGTCATTCTAACAGAAATCTGTTTTCGAGCTTCTACCGTATATTTTGACGTCGCGTAAAATACTGAATGTGCGACCATCTATTGCTGTAATATTAAGTGATATAAAAATAATGGAATGGCCACATAATAAACAGAATTATGCTTGGAAAATTTAATAAAGGATTACAGTACTTATTAACGGAAAATTAGCTAGTTGGATGGCACACGATTGTGGATAAATACGTATGTTGTCGTGCTCTTACCCGACAAAATCCGGTTTGGTTGGAAAAGTACAACGAGACACCTTTTCACCACCGAACCGTCGCACCCGTCCCGCGATACTGATGCCAACACGAGGCGTGGTGATAAAGCGTTCCGGCAGACTGGAATGGCCGAAATGATGCTGCACGAGCTGGTTGATCTCGTCGCTGGATAGCCAACCGGCCTAATAATCAATCAAAACCAAATGTCAGTTATCATAGCACAGGATTTGCACTGATAAAAATTTAATAACGTTGACCTTTATCGTATACACATTTTCTTAAGCTTTACATAAATATATAGATGACAGCACTTTGATTTTAAATAATAAAAGAGAAAATTATTATTCTCAGAATAATAATTTATGTCTAATAAATAAAGCTGACCTTTATAAAATATTATAAACCGAATCACAAATATTATAAACCGAATCTTTTATACGTATTTCAATGACAATAACAAATTTTTAATTACGCAACACATTTGGAATTTTTATAGTACTAATTTTTGCATAATAATTGACGGTGACCTTTTCCTGCAGACTGCGCATACCTTTGCCGGGCCCAACGCCAGATCCTGCAACGAGAGCAGCGGATAGCGCACCAGGTAAACTGCCTCTTGCAGTACTGCCCGCATATTCTCGCCCGTGAGCTCCAGATTCTGGCGCATACACTGCTCTTGTCCCCAGCTGCAGAGAAAATCATATTTACTGCAGATTACAGATCTTTCGCGTGCCCAGTCGGCGTTCGAGTATTTACCGTTCCACCGCAGCGAAGATATCTTTTCCGGCGCCGCAAGGGTGTCACGCGCCAACAACATGCACAACAGATCGTGCTCCAGATCCAGAAACAGCGGCGAGCGCAGAACGGCGGCGGCATAACGGTCAATGTCTTTGGCATAGGTCATGGCCAAATCGACATCACCGTAAGACTGAAACTATAACATCAATCTCTTTATTAATAAATCTTGTTGTACTATAAAAAATTCTGATCGTCTCTCTACATTTAACTGGTAACCTTTTAATACGAGTAATTGTAAAAAGTATTGTGATGACCACAGTTGTTCTCACCTGCGTGAGCCAGCGGAGACAGTTTTCTGCGGTAACGTTGTTCTTCAGGTAGGCGTCGCATTCGGCTTGCAGCAGCGGCAGATCGTACTTTTTTGCGGCATACATCGTCCCGATCACTGTCTCCCCGTTCACGCTCACTTTGTCCGTGTACAGATATCTACAGAATAATTATAACAAAATAATTACTTTTTGCACAAATCCTTCTAAAATAATTGCTGGTAATCGCTTAAACAGATTGTTGTTTGCAGTTAAGCTTGTATTTTATCCAGCAGTACAATAAGCGGAGATCGCGGCACAACCCTTGGGTGTTCACAAAAATACGGAAATAATCGGACAGTCTGTCACACTCTATCCAGTAACCCTACACGATTTCCAATAAAAATGATTATCGATATTCTCAATAAAGCTTTCAATCGGAGAATAGTTTGCTGACTACTGCTTGTTTGCCGGATGTGGAGAAAATTAACGGCAGTACGGAAGTCCTATTGTGGTTGAATAAAACCTGGGAAACTATAAATGTTACGATCAAAATGCGAAAATCATAAAAAATTTTTAAAAAAGCCGCACACACAGTCAACACCCGCGTCCGAACTCCGTGTACGCACCGGCCAACACTCGTGTTTTCCCGTGCACACAGCATCGGCCTTAATAATATGGCAACCAGTCATCGTGCTTCAACCTTCATATGGAAAGCAATGACTGGTTGAGTACTGTAGTTGGACGCCAGCGATAACCTCGATACACAGTCAATAAAATGCACTTATAACATAAGTGAAGCTGACGATTTACGACGCTTTGACCTTTGTTGCAACAGCGGACAACCAAACAAGAAAAACAGCAGGACGCCTGTTCGTAAGAGTCTTACGGTAAGACTCCGTTACGTTTTATGATTCAGCTCTCCAGTTGTTTCAGGCTGGGTTTTTTATCGTTTCGTGCGATGCAGCTTTAACGGCGCTAAAACTAAGAGCCAGTTGGCAGTGCGCCCGACCGAAAGAATTCTTAATTTCTTCTCTTTTGCCAAATGAACCGTTTTGTCTATCGTGCGCCTCTACTAACGGCCAGTTTTAAGCTGATCCTGTTTAGGTAAGTTTAGGCCGCAATTACCGAGCGTCGCGGTTATCGCCGGTTTTATTGCTAAGGAACCGAGCAGTGGGTCGACAAACGATTCGATCGCATCGCACGGGCTCATTTGATTTTTGTTGCGATAGCTACGCAGCCTACGCAGCGAAACCTGAAACCTCGACAGCAATGTTATAACACGAGCGTGTCCAAGAACTGAGCTTTCATCATCTATGGTTAGTTGGTTACTGTTCATTGTTATTATTAATTTTGACCTTTCTACATAACAATTTGCTTGAAAAATGCTCGAATAAAGTGCAATGCTCACTGCTGCCGCAGTTTTTCAAATATACAGAAAGTTAATAATTATTAATAAATAAACTGTTAACGAAATAAACTCTCCAGTAGCCAGAAAATGCACTTTACAGATATACTGTACAACGTTGAAAGCTTTACGGGAAAATTTCGCCGACGCAAGGAAAATCCGAATGCATTAGCAATTGGATATCAATCTGTCTCTTCACAGACGTACAGTAGGCACCGTGATGGTACAATTTAAAACGACAACCTTCCTAGCTAGAAAAAAAAACAGGAAAAACTTTCACCCCAACAAAACGCAGAGGTTTCAAAAGTGCGTAATGAAACCTGTAATTACGTAAAGTATGGAATACGGTACTGAACTGATATGCCTCTATTGTATAATATGTCAAAAATTACTGAACATACCGCAGTACGTTTCGGAAGGCCTGCGGATCGAGATCGTCTACCCGCAATGGAATATCCTGCTGGTTGTTAGACTGGGTCAGAAGATCCTTGAAGACGTTGCTCCCGAATGACAGGATGCATCTGGACAACGCCATTTTATCAATAAATATGCGGTTAGAAGCCCAAAAGTAAACAATATTGAACTACGCACAAGTAAAATAACATCAGCAAAATTAAGAAAAATTATTGGGCAGTAAATTTGTAGGTACGAGGCAAGTAAATGAAAATGAAACGAGGTACAGTCGTAGTTTTAATTATAAGCGTTTACGGTATTTTTAATGTAAATACTCATTGCCATTTATTCTGCACAGTGAAAAATTACTTCAATTTTTTTACTCTGAAACTGATTTCTTTATTAATATAGGAACTTGCCTGTGGGCAGGAATTTTTTCGGCACTCTCCTCGGTGAGCCCGACAAGGAACACGACATCCGCCAGTACACCGGTCTCTACGGCGTACGCCAATCGGTCCGCCACACATGTTGCCTTCTTTATCCAGTTATCTTCCACTGGTTCGTCGTGGTGCTCTTCACTGCATGACGGCTGGCTTTTAGGGGATGGGACCTCGTTCTCGGGGGTTGTCTGGACAAAATCAGCATTCGAAGGATTTAATAACGGAATAAAACTGTATAAGTACTGCAAAAGGTCACTCCCGATTCAAAAATCAGCGCGCAGTGTAAAATCCCGACGACGACTTAATTTCACTTCACGCGTAAGGAGAAAACGGTTTTCCCACGCTTTTTCGTGTGAGAACTATTCAACAAAAATAATAAAAAGCCCAGATTTGTCCTGTTATCAAGAACTACAAGTGTATTACAAAATGCAAGCTGCGCAGTGCGCACACCTAGCTTCAACATCGAGAAAAAATTTGACCGAGTTTAAAGTTTCAAAAGCACGCGTATATCTGCTCCGTGACCACTCAACAGACACAATCGTCATTAATGATTAATAATTAATATGATAAATTCCTTGAAAACTGGTAGATACTAAGTCTTCTTTATGGCTTCCGGCATTGGATAGCATTCCTGTACTCCATCTTACTTATAATATTATAGTCAAAACAAAATTTAAAAAACAAACAAAATTCCCGAATGCTTCGATAACTGCAAATTGCAATGATGAATTATACACTGCCTAGCAGCACGCAGGTGTGCGAGCACTTCTAGGTTCTTCCGATCTGTGCACCTTATTATCAGCACGACTAAAATTGAAATGGCCTTCGCAGATTAGCCGATTTATGATACATGTTGTCATCATACCTCATAAGATTCGGGTGAATCAGGCCCATCCATGGTCGTATCGATATCAATGTGAATGAACCCTCAACAAAAAATTAATATACTGAACAACAATAAACGATTATAAACCCTTTGAATTTACTGCGCTGACGGCAGTAGTAATAGCGCTGGATATCAATTTCTAGAATTCGAAATACTGTAAGTACAATACTCTCAGGCTATTAAACGTTTTAGCCGTGCAACTGCGGAGTGGTGCGTAGCGGTGCGGATTCGAAATTTCAAAATGACGATGACGGCTAATAAGTACTACAGATACGAGTGCAAAAACTACGGTACATTAAATTGTCAGTAGCGCAGGATGCGGTAATTTTCTTAACTTCCAGGAGATGCAGTTGCCTATTTAAACATGACAAATAATTTTCGCTGGCTTTCTGCACCTCGTGCTAAATTTTTTGAATATTTTATCTCGATAGTTAGCTTACATATTTAAATAGCTGGCAATAAATAAACAACATTTCAATGTACTGTAAATACGCTGCATACCGGTAATTATATACAGAATAATTTTTTTTGCTAAAAAGAATTCATCCATTGCAGTTAGTATAAAAAAGGGTAATTGTTTACTGAAATTATGAATCGCTGCGGTAATGTACATGTGCGTTGGACGTACTCATAATTATCTTACAAACTGGAACCGTCAACAGGTTATTGATATTTCGCCCACGTTCTGTAAGAACAAGGATGTACAAGTGAAACCAACGGAGATGACGCAGACTTATCAGGTGTTGAATACCTGACGGTTTATTTGCAACAATGAAATTATGACTTTATTACTGTAGCCCTGTTTCTACAGTTTGCGGGATTTACTTGAAGTATACTCGTATGTCTAAACTCTAAAGCAAATCGTCTGCCAAATAAGTATGCAGTACAAGCGCATCCTCCCACCGTCAAGCGCATCCTCCCACCGCCGTCAAGCAGTGATCAAGCAGCGGCGATTCAACTGCTATCAAATGAACCATTACCATTACCAGTTTCCGGCTAGCACTGGAATTTTATGATGGACTTTTGGAGCGCTTACATAACGTTTGTGCGTACTGCATCGTCGTTTAAGTTTATGTTACACCATGGTTCGCAAATTGTTAACTTACTGACATAGTACCAGTACATACTAGCAGTACTTACTAAAAAATGTGCGAAAAACCCAGTAAATGTTTTCGATATGAAGTTCTTAACAAGACTTCTGTACAGTAGCAGAAAATCAGTTCGATGCCTTCGCAATGCATTTTAACTAATGGTAAGAAACAAATACTTTCAAACATAATTGTGCGATTAGTTGTGTCACTTGTGTGTATTTCAAAGTCTCGTAACCTTAACTTACTATTTAGCCCACCGTATTCCTTCATGTAAAATGTTAGTATCAAACTTTCTTTGTTGCTCTTACGACTGTTGCAGATCATGTAAACAGTATAACGAACAAAAAGTTTCCAAAACCGGTTAAAATGTATTTAATAAGACTCCCTCGCAAAAGACAACATGAATAGTTAATGAAAGATAGCGATATTTTCGCTAGTCACAAACACTGGATTTACTCAAAATAAAACATCGAATAGCCATTTGCCGACCAACTGTGCATTCTACGATACTTGTTTGAATCCCAGTCACATAGCGCATCAAACACCGTGCAGCCGTAAAAGTTGTAAATCTTTACCGGAAAGCGCATTATAGCGGCTGCCATAAACCATCCGCGGTGGCACCCACAAGGTTGGGCCACCAGGATCCCGGCTGGGCGCGGGAGCAGGCGTACCGTACAGTTTTCCGGGCAGGTTTCCTTCGCACCTCTCTGTAAATATAATTTTCGCGACGAGCGGTACCAGTTCCAGATACAGGACTGTCGCGCGCCGCTTCTCTTGTATAATTTGTAGCTGTTAAATTATCTGGTCGGTCGGCCGCGTAGCCGTCATGACCTTTTTCGCTCCCGCTCGTCGTATCGTACTCAGTGCGGCACTGGTCAGTGCGCATGTACTGATTCTCGCTGTCGATTGGATAGACTTTTTCGTCAACGGTACCGCGGACTATCCAAGTGCCTGTGCGCGACTCAAGTATAATCCTGTCACCGTGTCCAGAGAAGCTGTGCTGAATATTGCCCACACATACTTCCCGGAATACAGTGCATTCCTTCAGTCAGTATACGGATATCATTCGTCCCTGTTCCTAGAAGAATACATTTTATCTTCTGAATCGGGTGTGCAGCAGGGAGATCCTTTGGGGCCTTTATTATTCTGCCTTGTCCTCCACATGTTAGTCATTACTTTAACCACTGAGCTGAATGCCTGGTTTCTGGATGACGGGACTTTAGGCGGTTCGCCTGCTAGCGTGTTGGACAATTTTGAGCGGATTGTAGCACAAGCAAATTCCATTGGGCTAGAAATTAACATCGCTAAGTGTGAACTTTTCGTATGTGGAGGATCGGAAAGCGCTCAACAAGAAGTGATTGCAGACTTCATTGTTAGACACCCTCAACTTCGCGTCTTATCAGACTCCACTTTCACACTGCTCGGAGCTCCCGTACTTGATGACGCTATCGGTCCAGCACTCACTGAAAAAGCTGCAACGCTAACCACAGTGTGCGAACGACTGCAACTCCTGCCACGTCATCATGCCTTGTACCTCCTGAAACACTGTCTTGGCGCGCCAAAAGTAATCTACATGCTGAGATGTTGCAACGCATGGAGGTATCCCCAGAAACTTTATGAAATTGATGAAAAGTTGCGGTTTTGTTTCCAGTCTTTGTGTAACGTCAAAACTACCCACGACGATTACCCTTGTTGGCGACAGGCTACTCTTCCCGTTTGTCGAGGCGGTATTGGCATACGTCGGTCGGAGGAATTAGCACTCCCAGCCTTTCTGGCTTCGATTCACTCCGTTACCGATTTGATGTCTTTAATGCTTCCTGGCCATGCGGCTGTTGATCTTACAGATGCCCAGGACCTGTGGAAGAAGAACGCTTGTCTACCTGATCTGCCCGAAGCCAACTTCCGCAAGCAGCAGAAAGTATGGGATTTGCCACTGTGTAACGTATCCTTGTCTACGCTGCTGGAAGTTTACCGCAACGATGAAGTTAATAGAGCCCGCCTTCTTGCCCAGTCAAAACCAGAAGCCGGCATCTGGTTGAACGCATTGCCCTCGGCTCATATCGGCAATCTCTTGGACGACGACACTCTCAAAATCTCAGTGGGCCTGCGTTTGGGAGTCGCGATATGCGAACCACACGATTGTTTAAAATGCCATAAGCATGTCGATAAATACGGCCACCACGGCCTGTCCTGTGCATTCTCTGCTGGTAGACACCCACGACATGGCGCTCTGAACAGTATCGTATGCCGTTCTTTCGTTTCAGCTGGGATCCCAGCTAAGTTGGAGCCTCGCGGCACGTCACATACTTCGGATCGACGCCCCCGATGGCTGCACAACCTTTGCTTGGCAGAGAGGGATGTGTCTTGCATGGGATGTCACTTGTGTGGACACCGTCGCGCCTTCCCACGTTAAAGCTACAGCGGCTAACGCAGGCGCAGCTGCGTTGGAAGCGGAGGAAAAGAAGACGGGGCTGTATGCATACTTGGCCGGCAGGTATATTTTTGCTCCGATAGCGTTTGAAACAATGGGCCCTTGGGGACCGGCTGCTATCGCCATTATCAAAGAACTGGGCAGACGATTGGAGCAGCATACAGGAGAAAAACGTTCCCATGAATATTTACGTCAAAGATTGTCGCTGGAGATTCAACGAGGAAATGCGGCCTCAGTTTTGGGCACAATGGAAGGAGCGGAAAAGTTTAATGAAGTTTTTATGTTGTAAAAACTGATGTTTTTTAATTATTGATTAAGATGTTGTACCACAGGTGAATAAAGTAATCCTGTCTTATTTGTCGTTACCACGACCTTCTCCGAGATGACCACGACAATCGCTTTGGCGCATTTGCTGGTGTTTCTTTACTTTTATGGGAAGCAGCGGTCACTGTACCGGATATTACACTTTAATGCCGGTAGCGATCTCCCCTCCACCGTTCCACGTGGCCGTCACGGCGGGCGGAGGCTGCTGCTGGCGTTGGGTCCGACCGGCGTCCTGCTGGCCGTCATGCTGATGCTGGCCGTCCGGCCCGTCGTGGCCAATATCTACACTGCCACCACGGTGCGGTACGCTTATGTCACGCTACCCAAGGTGCTGATGGAGGCGTGGTATGCGGTGATGTTGGCCATGAACTCCGCCATCGTCACTGTCAGCTTTATCGCCATAACGACCATCGTCTGCAATTTCAACCGGGCCGCGCAAGAGATCCTCGATGGGCTGAACAGCTTGTCCCCGCGTCTTTCCCTCTTATCTGTCGCGGAATTATTACCTCTGGTCAGCCAGTTTGAAATGCAACTGGAAACATTAGGTAGGTAATTCGGTTCTCTGTGCGCTTCGAATAATTCGATTTTTTGTGTTCGGCATTGAAATAAAAAAAATTTGAAAAGGTTTAAAATTAATTAAAAACTTATTTCAAAATATACTTGTTTATAATAAAATGATAATTCAATTCTTTTGAAAATGACAAATTGGTAAGCATGTTTTGAATAATACGAAATTATTAACGATGAATTACGGAAGAAACTATTAATAAGAAATCCATAAATTAAATTTGTAAATCAACGATAATTATTGATTGAAAAATGATGAATCAATTCTTTTGAAGATGATAAATCGGTAAACACGTTTCGACTATTACGAAATTATTAATGATAAATTACAGCAGAAATTATTAAGGATAAATTAATCTGTATGGCTGAAAGAAAATCGATTCAGCGAAAACAAATGTATATAATGTATATATATATCTTGGTAGAGGTATTGCTTTAACGCCATATTTACCAGAAATTTGTCGTACAAATATTATGAAAAACCATAAAATTAATGACCTTTGAAATCTCTGATTGCATGTTTTTGCTTCGATTTGAGTTACACTCCGAAACATTTCAACAACGCATTGAAACTGCTTTCTACTTGATCCCTTACGTTAGGCGGCATCCATGAAGACATGGAGACATCGGTCGGACTGCCGTTGCTTCTGATCAGCGCGTCGACCTTCTATTCACTAACCTCCGGTAGCCCAAATGATGGTGGAGACGGACACTCCGCGTCATCCATTATTTTGGGCCTATTTCGGTGCGCATAATTTATTGCACTTGAGCATGATGATTACCCTTATCGTACTGGTGGACCGAGCGACAAACAAGGTATTTTCCTGCCCATGAAGGTTAATTTTTTAGATCATACCTAATTGCCGTACGTCGGAATGAAGATGTAATCGAGTTCTGTCGTAGAAATCTCTAAATAATGCAGTGTAGGACTAAAAGTTTAAAACGAGCTCGAAGTTAGTGCCGGCGATTCTTGCGCACTGGCGCTTTTTTTGCACATTAACTGTTAATTTTTCAACCGCGAACCAATTGGCCAATTTTCATGATCAGCTATTTAAGATAAAAAGTGCGGTGTACATTTACATAATATTTGGTAATTTTTATTCATAATACTTTACGCTTGTTTGAAACGTTCGAACCGCGTGAAACCAAGAAATTGCTGATTAGTACCGTAATACGCTAACCCAGTTGTTACAATAAAAAAAATTATAAGAGCCACGCCCCTTTCAGCAGCTGCCATCATCCTCGGCCCATCCCACGCCGCGATCATGAGAACCTGATCCATTATCGTAGGCCATGTGGCGGGCGGAGTTCAGGGTGGGACGGGGGTACTGATAGTAGGCCGGATGCGGTTGGTCGTACAGCCAATTGGCGTCATCTTCGCCGTAGTAATTGCCCATTACGCCTGCGTTATGGACAATAACTGTCACGCACACGGCTAATAATGCTGTCCACAGAAACCTAGTCATGGCTTATAATGTCTAGTGATACCGATAAATGACAGAACGTCACTGCCAACACTGAAACACTGAAATCGTGGAACACTGGAAATTATTGACCTTTACAATCTCTTATCGTACAGCGCGTGCGCTACAAGTCTGACTGCAAGAATGATTATGATTTTATCGTAATTCGAGTTTCAACACACTAACAGCAAAATCAAAAAAAAAAAA